ACAAGTGTAACGGTAGATCGGGGTGCGTAATTAGCACTTTCTTTCTTTCTGTGTCAAACAAAGTAGCGTGAGTTTAAAGGTAAAGCCATTCTAATGAAAGTAGAAATCACATGTCCCAGAGTGGAAGAGTCCCGACACATGAGAGTGGTTAGACCAGTACTGAGTGCTGGAGCAGCTCCACCCCTTCCCATGGGAAACTACAGAAACGGGAGATCCAAAACAGCAGAAAAGATCCTTTCTTCCCCCCCAGATACCTGGCTGTAACCGGGCACCACCACACCGGGCGTAGAGAAGCAGAGAAGAAAGGATGCGGTAGAATGAGGGCGAAGCAGAGGGGAATGAAACATAAAGCAGACACAGATTCATGCATTGCCATTTACAAAGAATTTGGAAAACCAGTGGAAGTTGAGCCAGATACCGCTGCTTCCCGAAACTTCACTCGTTGTTTTATGGAGAGAATTTGTGCGTGATGTAAATCAGTGGGATTCAACTCGTGTTGCCGGAAACAGCTCTCCAATATACAGAACCGCTGAGTTAGTGGCAGGTGCTGTTGGTATTTTCTTGGACATTAATAGCTTGTTTCAAAGAGGAATGCTACTCATGATCATTTTAGGGTGCAACTAAAGTTTTGTTCGTCAGTACATGTTTGTGTAATAACTTGTGTTTTTGTTCTGGGCCTAACGAGCGATGAACAAAGTCACAGAATCATTCTGGTGGAGTAAAAACATTATAGTCACTGTTATTGTAAAAATGTACTTGCTGATGGCTGAGCGGTGATTTTAAAAAAAAAAAACTAATTCTGCAGTTTAAAACCAGATCCACTTTAAGTGTGGAGTTCTAATTATACATTTAAGTATAGTTCCGGAGGTTGGGCCAACCCAAGGCTAATTATTATTCTTGACTAAGAGGATTTATAGATTTGCTTTGGTGTAAAAGTCTCTGCTAGCTCCCAAATCCCTGTGCTGCTTTTGTGACATTTGAAAAATCAGTCTTTAGTGCATCTACAGTTCTCGTCTTGCTTTTCCATTCCACACATTTACACACACATCTCTGGTGTTCCAGTGTCTTAGGAGGAGGTTGAACTTGACAGTGAATGACTGATAGTGTCACTGGAGCGTGGCCTTCAAGGTGAGCAGTCAGGAAGTCCGACTGAAGAGCCTTTGGCGTTCAACTCCACTGGGAATGTGCATGAAGAGGGCCGCTGCAGCGTTGCTGGAGGAGCAATAATTAGGCTGATTGAGAGGGTGTCACTCAGAGGGGATCCAGCTGGAGAGATTGAACTGCGGGTAGAGAACGGGTGGATGGAGGCTGAGTGGGAGGAAGGGGGTAGTGTGAGGGGGTGGGGGGCAGCGTATAGGACAGCTGGTGGATGTTGTGATGGTAATCCAGTGAAGTCAGATCTTTACAAAGCAAAAGCGTAGGGCCAGGTGCTGCCATTGAGCAGTCAGTCGCCCCCATACTGTGAGAGACAAGCTTGTGGAGGAATGAAGCTGGTAGCACACTGCCCCTGTAGCACATGTTGCCTCTCTCACCGAGCAGCAGCTTTCTCTCTCTACATGTCTCCCTTCATCTGAGACTCGTCTTCTTCCCGTCACCGATCACAGATTTCTGCCATCTCGGTCTTCTCAGATCTGCTAAGCAAGCACGGACCATCTGTGCTGTCCGAGACCTGTGGATACAGTGGTCCTCTGAATGTTGTAAATTATACGCCCTTGGCCTCAGTAGTCAACTGTGAAAATAAATAGTGGGTGTTTTGTCATGACCCCGTAGCAACTCCAAGCCTCTTAAAGCGTGATAAAGAGGATGTCTTTGTCTTTGATAAGAAGCAGACCGTCTACACGGCCGTTTCTCCTACTGAAACCACTCCGGTTGACTTTAGCAAGACTGCACGAGAGGTAGCAAAGCATTTTTAAAGAATTTAAAAAAATCATAATAGCCTACAGATTTTTATAAAAATATAGGAAATGTGGACTCCACACTTGTCCGTCCATTTGTCTCATTATGGTTAAAAATAGATCTTTTAACTAATAATTAGAAATATATGCGCATGCCATGGCATGCATTTACTGAAAGGCTCTTGCAAAGAGACAGATTAGATTGTTAGCTTAGCCCACAGCACCTCAGGGTAGTGTTTTCTTTGGCATCTTTATGGTGGATTAGAAAGGAATGCTTAGCGAGTAAGATTCCTCCTCTCCCCCTGGTCCTTTCAGGTTATTGTCTCTATCTCCCATCCATTTATCCTGTTTGCCCCTTCAGGAATGCCTTTAACAATACCATTAGCCTCAAGTCATTGAAAACTGAATGTTTGAAATAACTTGTTTGATTTGCAATTAGTTACTCTGCGATTCTGTGAAGCAGCATAAAGCTCACATCCTTCATGCTGCCCTGCCAGGCAGATGGATCCGTTGTCATGCCTGCAGACCGAACAGATTCCACTTGCTGCGTTTCTATCCATCAAGAAAAGAGTACAACATAACAGAAGGGTTGAAAAGTTGGTGTTGTTGTCCCATCATGTCTTTGGGTCGCGTTTGAAGACTGGAAGCTGCTGTTCCCAGGCCCTGTCTAAGGAAGTGGTGCCTTCTGACCTCCTTGCTACGCACATCCTGTCTTATCTCAGAAGCTTAAGCAGCTTACTGAGTGTACCGAGGCCTTCTTGCTCCTTAGTTGGCTCATCTTTTGCCTCGTTTTGTTTCCTCCTTTCTCTCCCCACTGCACGGCAAGGAAATAAAAATTGATTCTTCTTTTATTACTTTGGAAGCATGCAACAAAGTGTACCCCCTTTCACGGCATTGGAACGTATGAACTGCACACTTATGTAGGGATAAGCCCGCCTTTGAAGTGTCATCCACTGGCTTATCCGAACAACAATGACTTCTGTCGAGACATTTAGGCAGGTCTGATTGGAATTACTGGAGTGTGCCAGCGAAATTTCCCCCAGTCTCTCCCTCCCTTTAGGGATGGGTCCATCATTATATGAATCAGGAAAAGGCAGTCACTGTTCAAATAAGCAGACTACAAATATCTCGACTTTAACCAGGAAGCAAGTTTCTCATGTTTCATCATTTCAGATTCTTTTAGAGGTTTTCAGCCTGAATTCCTGAAAGGGATTGTTAAAATATTGTTATTTATCCGGCACACTTTTTCTTTAGCATCTCTAGTACTTGTTTAGGTGACAGCACTTGAGATAGTAAACATTCTCCGGCTGTTTTCCTCAGCTTATCATAACGAACCTTTGCCAGTGCCCCATAAAAACCTCCTCCTGCCAGTACTATAGGCATGTGAGGGTCTGTGCTGGTCCGAGTCAGCCACTGTGACAGTTCTTGTCAACATTGTTAAGTGTGGAGTGTGTCTTATCAGATGTTTGCATGTGTCTATTTATTCCTCATTTGCTGTGCAGAAAATATTTACTATGCCGTGAATAGCAACGCATCACGAGGAGCTTGAATTATTTGATGTTTTTCGGAAGCTAAAAGCTTTGTGTTTGGTTTTGGAAGGGGTCTTTCCAGTTTCAGAGTTCTGCAACAATCTGGTTTGGTTTAGGTGGTTGGGTGGGGTTTTGTGGTGGAGTTCTGTTGAGAGTGCTGCAGAGGACTGTGACTAGGATTCATGCGATGTGGTTATGGGCAAACACATTGCTATTTGAAAAATGTGTATTCTTCCCGATCGACACAGATGAAAAACCTGTTAAAGATCACGTGTTAGTTCCAGTTGCATGCATGTCCAGGATTTCTCAGAGCAGTTTTGCTGAGCTGTAAAAACCGAACGACGTGTTTCTTCCGTTTCTGTGATCTCTGCACTCTTTAAAACGTTTCCTTTTAACTCGTATGAGGATTTGACCGTGGAGCGGCGTTTAGAGACTGGACTCAGTCACATCAGTTTCCACTTTTTCTATCGTACACCACGCTGTGGTCTTATTGGTAGGTTAGTAAAACTCATGTCTGTGTGATGTCCTGAAAGCCCTCCGGGCATCTCTTTATTGTTGATGTAAACAAAACCATTTAAACAAGGCTAGTCCTTCGTTCTGTGAAACAAACACACACACACACACACACATACACACGCGCGCTTCTGGACCCGAATGCATCTGATTACCCGGCTGAACTGGTCCAGTAGTGGCCCTCAGAACTACCTGCACATGAAGGGGAACCCATCTTCTGAAGTGCTGAACTGTCTCTCTCACCCCCTTTTGCTCGCTCCGGCTCTGCCTCACCATGGGTAACTGTTGCCAGGCTACGGCCCAGGCCTTTAAAGACTAGCTGTTTGGGTCACTGCTCCCCCCCCCCAGCCACCGCCCCCAAACACTTTTATACAAAGGGGTCCTGACTACTTTAGCTCTTTTATTTGAGCCACAAAACATCCCCCAACCCCCCAAACTGGCTCTTTGCTGGAGAAGGGAGAGCCAAGCTGAGAAGAGCCGAGTGGAGGAGACTGCTGAAGGGAGGGGGCAAGGATGGGCCCTTGGTGCCCTTGTGGTGTCTGTACGGACTCTCGTGAAGGAGAGGAACTGGTTCCTGCTTGTTTGTGGAAATGGGGGGGGGGGGGGGGTTAAAAGAATGCTGTGTTATTTTTTTCCCACCAGAAGACATTGAAATAAAAACTGTTCTGCCAAACGTTCATCTCATGCTGCAGAGAAGAGGAAACGTTGTTCCCAGTCCAAGCACCGTTGATCTGTTGCTGCTTTTGCTCACCTTTGACTTAAGAAATACCACAACAGATAGGGGAGCTCCTTTATTCTTGCTGCTTTGTGGAGCGTGATTGTGTGTACGAAGCATGTCAGAGATTACAGCCTCTTTGTTCACAGGTGAACAACCTTTCGACCCCTGGCAGAACAGCTACTATTGTGTAGAAGAGGATGAGCTCAGGTTACTCTGCTCAAGTGAACCAGAAAGCAGGAAAATGAGGATTGTATTACACAAGTATAGGTGGCAAACCCTACTCCAGAAGTCAGCAGCTCTGCTGAGTGTTCATGCTTGAATCGGAAATATAAACATCCACTCATAAAGGAATTCAATGTTTTCTTTAGTGATGATTTTTTTTCATTATTCTTCAATAAATTTCTTAGTGGATCTTCTCTAATTAAAATTCGTGATTCTCTTCTTCCACAGAGGCTGATACTGGTAGTAAGTTTCTCCTCTGTGTGTGTGTGTGTGTGTGTGTGTGTGTGTAGTGGTCGCTGCATGTGTTTGCTTTTTTATGTAATTGTCCTGAATTATACCTTAAGATTGTGGAATTTCTAACGCATGAGTTTGTGAAGGATGACCAGACATTGAGTGATGTGAGATGGTGTGTGCGCGCGTGTGTGTGTATGCTAAAAGGCCAGTTCCATTAACAAAACAGCACAGTTGTTTTGGCTTAAAGTCTGGCAGAAGAGGGAGATGCCAGACACCCAGAGGTGCTCTGACAGATGTGGACAGATGGTAGGACTGCAGCTGGCAGAAGCCCTCATAAGTGTTGACGTGAAGCGATTACTCACCCTGTCCATCTTTGTGCTGAACTCTGAAACCTTCTCATCTGCTGTACTCGCTTCCTCAAAGGTCAGATGTCAGCAGTCACAAACTACGACTAAAGAGCCGTTGCACAATAGCAGCCTGCACCTGCCGTCCAAATCTGGCACAAATAGAGTCAAATGCAAGCAAATGCTTCGATTCTGCCCTGCCGTTCCCATAAGCGGTGGAATCCTCAAGGCCAAAGGGAGCCTGATAAGCAGACTTTTCATAGCAGTGTGAAAAATAAAGGAGGGCAAAGCTGCATGTCTCTCACAGTCACTCCACTGATAGCACACTGATTTGTGTGTTATGGGAGTAGCATGTTGGCATTGAATCAGGTCTAGACAAAAGAATGTGTGTTTTGGCTACTTGATTTAGTGTTCATTTTTAAGGGAGGACAAATAATTCCTCAGACATTACTGCTACCTTCGTTCGTACAGACCGACCACCACATTCATGCACGCAGGCAACATGGAGACAAACGAAGGCCGGTTCACGTGATTCTCATCGCTAAACACAACTTTTACTCCAGTCCTCCTTGGGTTTAAGGCATTGGCACTAATGTTCACTGACACATGGAACACTTTTTAGGGTGCGCTGTTGTGGTGTTTTCAGTCCACGGAGACCCATAATAGACTATTATAAATCACAGCTTAAGATTTGAGCTGTTCGGTCTCCACGAACTCTCTATTACCCAACAATAACGAACGGTTTCCAGAAGAATTTGACAGACTGAGTTGTAGTTCTCTGCTCTTTAGGCAACTTCTTCAGTACTTTCAAAGGCCTCTTTGTGCCACATTTGCGTTTCATTTTTAGTGACACCCTAGATTCCAGACATAGTTAATTTGCCTTTAAATAAACCCAGCCAAGCCATGACAAATAGCCATGAGGACCAGGGTTAGAGGAGGAGGAGGGGATCGGTTGGGCATCGGGCTTGCTTGTCCGTCTGTGTTGTTGCCTGGGCAACAAGAACTGTGCACCAGGAGTGAGTTCTGTGTTTTCAGAACAAGGGACCAAGGATTACAGGAAATATGACATGGCATTCCTGCTGGCCTGGACCACTCTCATCTCTTTCTCACCACCAGCTGCCTTTTCCAAAAGCCATTTTCTCCTGCACAGCAGCACCACGCCACACTCTGCAAGCCTGACTGACATTATCATCACAATCAGACAGGGGACTTCTGACATCTGACCTCTCAGCATGTGAAAGGAGGGAGTAGTTCAGGGGAAAGGCAAGCTGGTGTTCAGAAGTTGTAGTAGCTACGCAGACATTTTCTCTGATACGTTGATTTTTAGCTCCATGACATTTTAAAAGTTATATTATAGAAACCCTCATTAGTGTTTGTAAGTAATTCACTGTTCAAACCCTTTGTAAACATGCGTCATGTTTTGCTGCTGCTCCATAAATGTAGACCACGTGGCTTCGTTAGTTCACTCCTTCATTGGGAAAACTTAACAGCAAATTAGAATTATAAAACCTAGTTTTTTTACTAGAAAGACAAAAGTTGATTTGTCTAAACTTGAACCACAAAGTCAGCTGGCATAAGACATGATGTGAGTATGTCCTCTGTTGTCCTAGGGAGTGTGCAAAACAAAGAGAAAACAATCAAAAATCACTAGTGAAGTAATAAAGTTTGTATAAAAGAGAACATTAAGAAACGGTGTTGGTTTAAGGGTTTTTCCCTCATTTTTTCAATGAAGACGGCCCAGAGCTCAGCTGTCACTGCCCTGCCACCAGCATCAAACAGTCTGTTGGAAGAGGGGGTTTGTCTTTGGCCAAAGGCTCCGCGGAGGGTGTAGAGTTACCAGCTCCACGGACTTTTTCTGAACCCCCATAGGAGCATTGCAGAGGGCCGTAGAAAAGACTGTTCAGCACGATCTCAATGTCTCCATAACCACTTTGTCAGAAGCAGAGTGGAGCCAGTTTTGGTCCTCTGCATCTCAGAGCTTTGGCAACAAGGACATGTTTGAACATTTTGTAACGAACATTTGCTGCCTCTTGGCCAGGACTCCTTTGAGAATGAGGTTTTTGATCTAAATGGGACCTTTCTGGTTAAATAAAACAAAAATAATGTTATGTAAAACTGAGCTAAAGACTCTGGGCTAAATAACTCTAGGAAGGTTTTCATTTCTTACTTGAAAATATAAGAAACCTTCTAAAGATCGCTCATAAGAAATACAACTGACCTTGTGCCAGCATTGTTTGCCAACTTGATGCATTACACTTCACTACAGAAATGGTCACGGGGAAAACAATGCTGCGTCCGCTTCATCTAGTCTGCTCGTGGATGCTGTGTATGGCCCATGTTTTCCTTCAAGTCGGGATTTGTTAACAGTTGTAAAATATTACAGACTGCTGTCTCAGGGCGTTCTCTTTTTAAAGAAATTGGGGGAAAAATAAGCAAGATGTGGAAAAAGCTTAACAGTGGAAGAAACGCTGGCTTACATGGAGAAAATGAGCTTCTCCATCTGGAAACAGCAGAATCTGCCTCACAAAGCCAGCGAAACGCATAAAAATGGCCTCCTTTCAGTTTAATTTGTTTGATGTGGCTCTATGTAGTCAGTCCCTGAATAATGTATGGCATGAAGTGTTCTTATGAGGTAAACGCAGAGTCATTCCAGGCCCCAGAGGCATTGCTGGATGTATGAGTCAGGCATCAAGTGCTGCCAAGGTGACATGGGGACTTGATTACAGAACTTACAGCATGATGAAAGTTTAGCTTTAATATGAATAAACGAGGGACCTGCCCTTGACCTGCAGGCCGTGTACTGATACCGCATCTGTAAATTTGTTCAGATGCCGACCTGGATTCATTGGTCCTCTTTGTCAGCAACTGGATCCCTGCCATCGGTCACCATGCCTGAATGGGGCAGCTTGTAAAAGCCAAGTGGTCAATAACATCCCACAATACACTTGTGTGTGTCAAAGAGGGTTCAGAGGTACGTGTCTTTACTGGAATTACTTGTTTTATGCAAAAGTAAAAGTTTTGTTTTTAGTGAATGCATTTCATTCTCCCATAGGCCAAGACTGCTCCCTCATTGATGCCTGTGCCACAAGTCCTTGTGCTAATGGGGCCCGCTGTGTCAATTGGAATAACCACTACAACTGCTCGTGTCCACCCGGATACCAGGGAACGAACTGTCGCAATGACATCGACGAGTGCCGCAAGCCTGGCGCGTGTCTTAATGGTGGCCTCTGCATTAACACCCTTGGGTCATTCCACTGCCAGTGCCAGCAAGGGTACAGTGGACGCACATGTGAGGTGTCCACCCTGCCCTGTGCTCCGTCTCAGTGTCTTAATGGAGGCACCTGTCGCCAGACAAGCGACCATTCATATGAGTGTGCGTGCCTACCAGGTACAACTCTTTGCTATGTGTGAAACACACACACACACACACACACAATTAGTTACTTCTCACAGTTGCAAACAGACTTTCCCAATGTGATGACGCAGCTGGGTAATGCTGCTGCTGGGATTTTGTTCTGTCTCAGGTCAACTTCCTGTCTGTTATTAATAGCTTCTGATGGGATATGGGGTGGTGGGAGAGTTGAAGAGGCAGCGTGTCTGCCCTCTTCTCCCCTGCTCTTTTCACAACAGAAGGAATTTACTTTATGAGCTTTCTGGTTTCCCACTGGGGAGCTGACAGGAAATGTCTCCTGCCAGAGAGGAAGTCATTGAAACTGTGAGAGATTATAAAACAAGCAAACATTGAAGGCAGTGCAGACCTCTAAAGCAGGCAGGAATCACTAGCGTTGCTGGCATTGTGTGGGAAAAGTCAAACGAAGATGTAAACAGTCAGACACCTTCTGGACTCTTTTACTGCCCACGTTACCTCACACGCTCTTTAGTGTGGGAAATGGGACTTGAATATATGTACAAGGACATGTTTCAAACCAAATGTTTGTCAAACTACCATCGGGGGCTCTGTATGTGTATCGTGACTCTTTCACCCCCCCGATCTGTTTCAGGCTTTGAGGGACACAACTGTGAGAATAATGTGGATGACTGTCCAGGTCACAAGTGCATGAATGGAGGAATATGTGTGGATGGCGTCAACACGTACAACTGTCAGTGCCCACCTGAATGGACAGGTGCAGTTCATGAGATACAATTGGAATCGATTCTTTATGTCACACTGAGAATGTTTTACCAACATGTTGTTTTACTATTATAGGACAATACTGTGCTGAGGATGTCAATGAATGTTTGATGCAACCCAATGCCTGCCACAATGGAGGTACTTGCTTCAACACCATGGGCGGCCATACTTGTGTCTGTGTCAACGGCTGGACTGGAGATGACTGCAGTGAAAACATTGACGACTGTGCAATAGCGGTTTGCTTCAATGGTGCCACCTGCCATGATCGTGTAGCGTCCTTTTTTTGCGAGTGCCCAGTTGGGAAGACAGGTTAGTTGGTTTGTAAAGTAGATTGGGACTTTTTTCCATAAAGTGATAAAGAGTGAAGTAAATCACAATTGTGTAATATTTGTGAAGGTCTGCTGTGCCACCTGGATGATGCATGTGTGAGTAACCCGTGCAACGAGGGCGCAGTATGTGACACCAATCCTCTCAATGGGCGTGCCATTTGCACCTGTCCTGCTGGTTTCGTGGGAGGTGCCTGCAACCAGGACATGGATGAATGTTCAATTGGTAACTTGTTTTTAGGTGGTGTAGTCATACGCTTTTTCCATTGATTGTATTGCATTTTCTTAATCTCTACGTTTTACCAACAGGTGCAAACCCATGTGAGCATTTTGGAAAATGTGTAAACACAGAGGGCTCCTTCCAGTGTCAGTGTGGTCGAGGGTACGCCGGCCCACGCTGTGAGATTGACATCAACGAATGCCTCTCCATGCCCTGCCAGAACGATGCCACCTGCTTGGACCGTATTGGAGAGTTCACCTGCATTTGCATGCCAGGTATTCATTCTTATTAAAGACCTCATTAGCGAACGTGCTTGTCTTTAAATGATGAACAATAGTTTTCTTCACAGGAACGTTTCGGAATGTTTGCAGAGTTATATTCCTTTTTACAAAAACACACCAGACACGAATAGATAAATCATGCTAAACTTGAGCTTTCACAAACTCCTTTCATTTTCAAGTGAAACATTTAAGAAGTTTTCATTTTAATCTTTAAAAGTACGTTATCATCCAGTTTCTACCAGTGCTTCGTTTTCAGATTAATAATACATTATTAGTAAGGAACTCACCAGGTCTGAGTTCTGTGAAACAACCGATTTGAACTTGACCCTCTAAAGAAACTATAGCGCTACCAGGCAAGCCTCAAGCGACTGTTACGTAATACATCGTCTCTAGCATTGTTAAGGATCTGTGCCCTGCCATGTACAAAGTTATAGTTTGGGACGGTCACTGAAAAAGACAGTGAAACTCTCACGCACAGCCCTACAAGTGTCCTGAGGTTTGGGGCGCTATACAAATTAGAGCTGGGAGTTGGGTCTATAGGATTGGATGTGAGAGAGGCCGAGCAGTTAGAGGAGGGGTGTGCTGTGAATACTAATGAGAGGTGGAGTGGTGGGAATGGAGCTGAACAATAGGGCCCCTCTGTGCTCCACTTTGCACCCCTCATAGACACTGAGGGAAAGAGGCTTTTTCCCAGAGCCTCCCCCCCCCCCCCACCTCCCTTCGTTTTCAGAGACAGGGCCTTCCTCATCACCGTCCTCATCATCAGTCAGCCTGGCAAAGCTCATGTGGAGCTTGTGATTATTTTTGATTCCACGCTAGCTTCACTGCAGGGGCAACACTCTCATTTACATTTGGTTTATCTAAAGGAAAGAGCCCTCAGTAGTTTACAAATGCAAAATATATGACATGTATCTGGTGAATGGGATGCTGAGCAGGGGAGGCGCGGGGCTCCTTGGATGTGGTGATTCCAGGTCAGTGGAGGGAAAACACGCTTGGGAACTTTTTTTTTATGGCTTAGCAGAAACCCATGTCAGTGAAACGTCTCTCATGAAGGCTTATTTTTCTGCTCTACACACTTATTCCTCTTAAATAACGAGCATAGCTCAATGTCCATGTGGTTTACTTTGGTCTGAACTTCCTCCTCTCAGGCTACATGGGGACTTTCTGTGAGATAGACATAGATGACTGTGAGAGTAACCCATGTGTGAATGATGGCATCTGTCGGGACATGGTCAATGGCTTCACATGCACCTGCCAGCCAGGTAAGCATCAATTAAGTATCCTAATTTGAGTTTTTTGCATTGATGTCTGTGTTGCTTGTTAGCCATGTAAAAGCAATACATGTGCAGTGAAAACTCCAAAGTTGAAGTTTAAATGTCCCTAGAACCAGAAGAGGGAGGGTCAGCCGTACCACTTCTGCCTGCTGGTTTATAGAACCACCACTCGTATAAAAGGCAGGGCCTAAAGCCTGCCTACCCTGCTGCCTGAACAAAAGCACCATTGTGACCCCTGCTTCCCTCCTCTCTGGAATGTGGAAGGGACAGCAGTCTCCCTCATCCTGCCCTGGTGGTGGAGGTGGAGGGGGACAGCAGTTCTCCTAATGAGATTCTTTTCCAGGTCCGCAATTTACATCTGGGACAGACGTCCCCCACCACCCCCCATCTAGCTATTGAGCCAGTAGAGCTGATGCAGGCAGCATAGGAGGAGGAGCGGGGTTCCCCCCACCCCACCAATAGAAAAAAAAAAAAAAACAATCCCACCGTCTCCTCTAAATGCCCCTTTAGTGGCCCAAGCACCAAAACACAGAAACCATTTTGACACTGTTAATCAACTGAGCCGCCAGTGCTCCACTTCACCTCTTCCTGGGCACAGTGCCCACTGCTTTCAAGCCTCTTCAGTCTTTTTGGGAGGGGTGGGGTGGAGTTGGGGGGGGGGGGGACTTCTCAAATGTTTGTAATGTAGTTGTTCTAGTTGCTGTTAATAACCAACCAGAACAGGCATTGTTCATTATAAAAGTCATCGCATCTTGACATGTTTTTGGAAATCAGTATGTAAATCAAAAGTATTTGGGTTGGTTTTTTGCATTAGTTGCTTGCAGGTCACTTACTAAGCACGTTGTGATAGTTAGCTCAATACTGATTCCTCTGTGAGGATGCCATGTCCTTAACCAGTCTTTCAAACCCCAGCATAGTCAGACATTGCTAATCTAACTGAAGGCCTCTAACTACTGCCCTCTGACCTGAGCATGGACCTTTTCACTGGACTGTCTGTCTGACCTTTAACCTCTATGTTTGCATGTCCCAGGCTTTACTGGCACCATGTGTCAAATCGACATAGATGAGTGTGCTAGCACGCCCTGCCAGAATGGAGCGAAATGCTACGACCGGCCCAACGGGTTTGAGTGCCGCTGTGCTGAAGGTAAGTCTTTCTTCACCTAAACGTTGTTATTAGATGGTTAGGTACTACACTGGTCAATATGACTCTCCAGACAGAGGAGCAGATGATCCCAAACCACTTATCTGGTCCTTGCTCAGCACTCAGTGTTAAGGTGAACTATTTCTTTGGGTGTCTGCTGGCTGTGCAGACCAAGCTGAGGCCCCTAATCCCCCTCTTTCCCTCGGTGGCTCCCAGGATCATGGGGTCACTGAGGACCAGCAGTTGCTATGAAAGAAGATGTGGTCTTCACCCCGACATCTGTTCATCTCTCAAAAGCCCTAACAACCCCTTATGTTGGGTTTAGCTTCCATTCCTTCATGTTTTAAAAACACAACCAGACACATTTATTTCTATTATGTACAGTTTATCGCTAGAGCTGAATGCACAAGCTGTGGATCGTTATGTTCAGATAAATATTATGTTTGTTAGTAACTGCGCCTGCCAAGGAGCTTGCTTCATTGTCTCAGTGACCAGCTGCCTGGTATTTGTTGTGTTTGTGGGCCCCTTCTGCAGAGTGAAGTGGCCCTGTTACGTGGTGCTGTCCATTGTTCCCTCCACCACCGAGAACAAAAGCAAGACTGGGAGGGCTGCGCAGGGCCCTTTTTACTGCGTTTCCCAACCTAACATTTCACTAGACACGTACCACACAAACCAACTGTTCCTTGCCTTACAAACAGACATCGTTGACATAGTAACCACAGTGGTCAGAGTGCAGATTTGAGGGACTTTTTATGAAGAAATAAACCAAATAAAAAAGTTCAACATGACAACGGGCAGTTTGTTCAGAAAAACATTGTGAAAATGAAGTAAAATGTCACCAAGTGGGGTCTAAGATGTAATTATTGAAGCACTAAATCTGGTCAACTGGCAGCCAAGAAGTAATAATTAAATCAAAATATATATTTTTCATTTTAGGTTATGAAGGACGACTCTGTGAGAGCAATATCAACAACTGTCAGCCTGACCCATGCCATCACGGCACTTGCATAGATGGCATTGCTAGCTACACATGTAGTTGTGAGCCTGGATACACGGGCTATCGGTGTGAGAACCAGCTCAATGAGTGCCACAGCAACCCTTGTCAGAATGGAGGCAAGTGTGTGGACCGGGTCAACAAGTACATCTGTCAGTGTCAGCATGGAACTTCAGGTAGGAAAGCAAAACAAACGGCACCGCCCACTTCTCCACAGGATGAATATTTTCTGTTGATTCATAGAGAGACGATATTTTTCTCAATCCAGGCACAAACTGTGAGATCAACTTTGACGATTGCGCCAGTAATCCATGCGATTACGGCATCTGCAAGGATGGGATCAATCGTTACGACTGTGTTTGCAAACCCGGTTTCACAGGTAATGCTATTTGAAACTGAAACTACTTTCAGATTTTGTAAACCCAGATCATGCTGACGAAAACGCGTTCACCTCTCTCTCACCAGGTCCCAAATGTAATGTGGAAATAGACGAGTGTGCTTCCAGCCCTTGCAGAAATGGGGGGACGTGTGTTGATGAAGAAAATGGATTTCACTGCCAGTGTCCTGAAGGGTTTAAGCCCCCTTACTGTTACTCCCAGGTGGATGAGTGTGGCAGCAGCCCCTGCGTCCATGGTTCCTGCAGAGATGACATCAATGGGTATGAATCGTTTCAAAGGACATATTTGGCATAACCAGGCATGTGCTCTGTTCACCTTGTACCACCAGTAGCGTATCCAGTGAAGCAGGTTTAGCTTATTCTGGCTATCCAAAGGTAGCTTTATTCGTATACACATTTCATACACACAAGCAATAGTGTTAGAATCCTGAAGACTATGGTATCGTGGTATCGTGATGCAGGTTTAGCAACTCGGGAAGTCAACCAGGGTCAAGCTGACGGTAGAAATGTTAATTGTCCTTGTGAATGAGTTGAGCTGGCATCCCATTACAAATCAGCGTCAGACAAAAGCTGCATATTTAGAAATAAAGTAGAAAATTTCATTTAATTCCAACAACAAGCAAAACAAGTAAATGAGCTGCATTTACTGGGTTAGATGTAATTATTATTATTGGTCAACCAGTAAATAAAAGTTGTTACATACTACAGGAGTTTCTGTTAGATTTGATATATTTTATAAGAATACTATGAAAGTAAATGTGAATATGAACTCGCCGTGGTGAGACACCCCAGCAGCGAGCGACATTGAAACAGACTTGGCGCTACAGTTAACTGGCTAAGTCACTATGCTGCTTTATTGTTTACTCTATATACTCAGTGTGGTCGGATTCCTCATTCTCGGTCTGTGTCTAGTTACCGCTGTGACTGTGAGCCCGGATGGGTTGGAAAGAACTGTGACCTGGACAGAAATGACTGTTTGCCAAGTCCTTGTCAGAACGCTGGTACATGCATTGACCAACTCAACGGCTTCACCTGCAAGTGTCGGCAAGGTTTCCGAGGTGAGAGGCTGACATTTTAGTCAAACAACTGTGCACTGAAGGCCCTCTGCCGCCCCCTGGTGGCACATAAAATACTTACATAATTAATCCTTTTACAACCACAAGTTTTAGGCTTGAAAAATCAGCAGTTTTCTTTATTCTGTTCACAGGGAATCTCTGCCAGGTGAACATCAACGAATGTGCTTCCAGCCCTTGTCTGAACAAGGGCACTTGTGTAGATGGAGTGGCGAGCTTCACCTGTCTGTGTGAGCTTCCCTACAGTGGACCCACTTGTGCTGAGGTCCTCACACCTTGCTCACCCAACCCCTGTGCAAATCATGCGGTCTGCACCCACACACCAGACTATCTGGGCTATCAGTGCAACTGCCAGCCTGGATGGCAAGGTTAGGAAACATTGTATTTAGTTATTTCCCTCGCCATCCATCTGTTAAGAGGTTATCTGCTTAGAGGCTTAAAATGTGTTTCTAACTGGGACAATATTTTGCAATCATCAGGTCAGTTGTGCAACATAGATGTTAATGAATGCTTGTCAAACCCGTGCAAAAACCGTGGGACCTGCACAAACACGCGGGGAGGATATGTGTGCTCTTGCAGAGCAGGTTACACTGGGCTCACCTGTGATACAGACATCAATGACTGTTTTCCTAGTAAGTAGCCTTTTAAACCTATGGTGAGGTGTTATTAAACCTGTCTATGTTTGTCAATCACAACTTATGCGTTGTGGCTATTTGATTTAAGTGATTTTCCTTCCCTGTGGCGTCAGATCCCTGCCTAAATGGAGGTTCCTGCATGGATGGAGTGAACTCTTTCCACTGCAGCTGCTTGCCGGGTTTTACAGGCTCCCGGTGTTCTCAGGAGATCAATGAATGCCAGAGTTCTCCCTGCAAAAACGGAGGCACCTGCACAGACTATGTTAACTCTTACACTTGCACCTGTCCGCCTGGCTTCACTGGCATCTACTGTGAAATCAACATCCCTGATTGCACAGAAAGGTTTGTGTGTGTGTGTTCGAAGCATGGAGATATTTGTGTTTAAAAACTTGCCTGTGAAACTTAAAATTTTATTTTGCTCGTGTCCACAGCTCCTGCTTCAATGGAGGGACGTGCACAGATAAAATCAATGGCTATTCCTGCGCCTGTCGCTCAGGCTTCACAGGCTCACACTGCCAGTATGAGGTCAACGAGTGTGACTCCCAGCCCTGTCTGAACGGGGGCCTCTGTCAGGATGCCCTGGAGTCCTTCCGCTGCTCCTGCCCCAGGGGTTACACTGGCAACCGGTGCCAGGTACATCAGGCGCTGATGCTTGATGCTTTAGTCTTAATGGGTTGACATTTTTTACAAATTATTTCTCAAACTTTTATGCATTGTACCTCTTGACCACCTAGACCCCAGTCGACTGGTGCAGACGTTCCTCTCTTTGTCAAAATGGAGGACGGTGTCACCAAAAGGATGCTTCTTTCATCTGCGACTGTCCTCTTGGCTGGTCTGGTCGTTACTGTGACATCCCAAGAGTCTCCTGTGAGACAGCAGCACGCCAGCGAGGTACTTTTATCCCCAGTAAAAGGGATCATTTCGACTATTTCCTCCAAGCAAACGGAGTTGACTTTTAATCTCAATCTTAGGGATCCAGACAGATGCTCTATGTCACCACGGTGGCCACTGTGTGAACACTGGGAACACTCACTTCTGTAAATGTCCCGCTGACTACACTGGAAGCTATTGTGAAATCCAAGTGGACCAGTGTGAGGACAAACCTTGCCGTAACGGCGCCACCTGCAGGTCATATGTTGGCGGGTACCAGTGTGACGTGAGTGAAAACCGTAGTGCTGCTGTGTTCTTCTTGGTCAAAAGTAGTCGGTCACTTTTCACTCATTTCTCTTTTCTCGTGGGTCTGTCGTGTGCTTACGTTACAGTGTATGCCGGGCTACACGGGGAGGAACTGTGAGATTGAAATCAACGAGTGCCAGTCTCACCCGTGCCAGAATGGAGGCACCTGTATTGATCTGGTGGGACATTATATCTGCTCATGTCCCCCCGGCACACTGGGTAGGCACACATAATGCAACAGAAACGTGTGCTTATTACTAAAGAGCTCTGATGCTTTTAAGAAATAATATTATAGTAGCTAATGGTTATGATCTCTTTTTAAGGTGTTCTCTGTGAGATTAATGAAGACGACTGTGCTCCACCCCTGAGGTCGCGTGGGGCTCCTCCCAAGTGCCTGAATAATGGAACCTGTGTGGATAGAGTGGGTGGTTATCGCTGCAACTGTCCCCCTGGTTTCACTGGAGAACGATGTGAGGGGGACATAAACGAGTGCCTCTCCAACCCGTGTAGTCTCTCCAACAGTCTTGACTGCATCCAGCTACCCAATGATTACCAGTGTGTCTGCAAGCCTGGCTTTACAGGTGAGACAGCTTCCCGTCTCCCTGGCTCATCACTGGGGATTCTGTTTGTGGAAAATGAAGAACTTTGGGATTGAGATCTTGCTTTGATGTGTGGTGCTTTTAGGTCGAAGGTGTCAGAACAGGTTTAGCGTGTGTGAGTCTCAGCCTTGTCAGAATGGAGGAGCCTGCTCTGTGACCAGCAGCTCTTCTCTCGGGTACACCTGTACATGCCAGCTTGTAAGTTTACTCCTCCGTTTGATCTTACAACGTGCAGCTTCTATGCTAAGTTTCAACTCAAATCACAAACTGCTTTTGTTTCGCTAGGGTTACACTGGGCCAGACTGTGAAAGAAGCATGTCCTGTCGAGAGCTGGCCTGCTACAATGGAGGCAGCTGTGCACTTACCACTAGGGGAGCACGGTGTAGCTGCTTGCACGGTTACGGCGGGCCTCAGTGTCAGCATCGCACGAATAAGGGCTGTTCCTCCCAGCCATGTCAGAATGGAGGCCTGTGCACCGAAGAGACCAGCTACCCATACTTCCACTGCCAGTGTTCCAGTGAGTGGACGGGCACAAGGTGTGAGCAAAGGTCTGAGACCCCAGTGCCCTCGTGCCCTCTGGCAGACTGCCATGGAAAAGCCAATGACAGTGTTTGTGACAAAGAATGCAACACGCTTTCTTGCCGTTGGGATGGTGGTGACTGCTCCCTGACAATAAACCCCTGGGCTCACTGTGCAGACCCTCGCTGCTGGCGTGTTTTCAACAACAGCCAGTGTGACGAGTCCTGCAACAACGCTGACTGTCTGTATGATAATTTTGACTGCAAGAGCAAGGACAAAGTTTGCAAGTGAGTTTTCCTCTACGTTGAAAAGGATGTGTCTTGTTTATATTGACTTGAGAATACTCAATCTCAAACGTGTGTTTGCTTTGTCCCTAGTCCTGTGTATGAAGCCTACTGCATGGACCACTTTGCTGACAATCGGTGCGACCAGGGATGCAACACAGAGGAGTGTGGCTGGGATGGCCTAGACTGTGCCCAAAGTACTCCAGAAAGACTTGCTGAAGGGGCCCTGGTTATAGTAGTCCTTTTACCTCCAGATGAGCTACTTCGCACCAGCACAGCCTTTTTGCAGAAACTGAGCGCCATCCTGCGCACTTCGGTGCGTTTCAGGCTGGACGACAATGGAAAAGCAATGATCCATCCATACAGACGTCGAGTATCACGGCTTAAGAGAGAAGTGCAGCCTCAGCAGGAAGTGATTGGGTGTGTTGAACACACAGTAAATAGAAAAGCTAAAGTCTTTCCTGTGAAGTGTACAATACACAAATGACTTCCTCGGTTTTACTTGTAGGTCTATCGTCTATTTGGAGATAGACAACCGTCTGTGTTCTAAGGACCTAGAGGACTGTTTCACTACAGCTGATGGTGCTGCAAAGTACCTAGGAGCCCTGTCCGCAACAGATATGCTGGACTTCCCCTATCCTCTCAGAGAAGTCACAAGTAAGTGTTGGCACAAGAAATGACTAGTACTACCAATGAGATGCAACCATGTGAACGCTGATTTCTCTGTCGCTCCACAGGTGAAAAGATCCCTGTTACAGGCGAGCCCATACCACAGTGGGCCAAGATGATGCTGGCAGGGATAGCTTCTCTTTTTGTCTTGATAATCCTTGTGTTAGGCATGTTGATTACCCGTAGGAAACGGGAGCACAGCAGCCTCTGGTTCCCTGAAGGCTTCTTCCTTAAGAAGGAACCCAGCAGTAACAAGAACCGCAGGGAACCCGTGGGTCAAGACGCCCTTGGAATGAAGTAAGTTATTTGTGATCACTATTTACGTAAATGAAGTAGTTTGGAGCTGTTTTTAGATTTTGTTTCTTAGGTCTCACGTTGCTGCATACGTTCATCTATTAACAGACACGTGCCGAAAACCATTGATGAATCCCTCCTTGGAGATCATAGTGATCCGTGGACAGAGTCAGACTGCCCTGAAGCAAAAAGGCTTAAGGTATTTTACACTACTGCTTCACAATTAAGTTTTCTCAGAAGGTACGCACAAGCACAAGACATCGATCCAGAGTGTTTATGAAGCGCCAAACGACGACAAGAGTCGTCTCAAGGCACTCCACAAAGCAAACATTCCCGTTGGGTTCAGTTCATTTTGCCAGTTGATTAAAAGTTTTCTATATAAGGAACCCAGCATTCTGCATGGAGCAAAAGACAGAGCACACACACGTGCACACCAACACACACATGCACAGACTTCATGTTAGACAATATTTGTGTTAATCCAGGTTGAGGAACCCAGCATGCTCTCAGACTGTGAAGATACAGTGGACTGCAGACAGTGGACACAGCACCACCTTGCAGCTGCAGACATACGCGTACCACCCACCATGGCCCTCACACCACCTCAAGGAGAATTTGAAAGCGACTGCATGGACGTTAATGTCCGGGGCCCAGGTTGGTACTTAAAGTTGCATCAAATCAATCTGTGATTTGTAGTAAAATTTGTATTCCGTGTGTATTCGTCTAGTATTGTGTGCACTTAAATAGACCCCTCTGTTTTGTTCCAGATGGTTTCACACCCCTGATGCTGGCATCATTCTGTGGAGGCGGCCTAGAACCTGAGGTGGCAGAAGAGGAAGAGAGCGAGGAGTGCTCAGCCAACATCATCTCTGACCTAATCTACCAGGGTGCGTCCCTTGCTGCTCAAACGGACCGTACCGGTGAGACAGCGCTCCACTTGGCTGCCCGCTACGCCCGTGCTGATGCTGCTAAGAGACTGCTGGATGCTGGTGCAGATGCCAATGCTCAAGACAACACAGGACGATCGCCATTACATGCTGCGGTGGCTGCAGATGCACAGGGCGTTTTCCAGGTAACCATAAGTTACCTGCTTACCGGTGGCATCAGAAATGTCTGTAACTCCGATTGCTCATGTGAATGAGCTGGACCTGTTTAGTGGTATTAAATTCAGTCTTTTTCATCGGTCTAGATTCTAATCCGCAATCGTGCCACGGATCTCGACTCCCGCATGTATGATGGCTCCACTGCACTGATCTTGGCTGCACGGCTGGCCGTAGAGGGCATGGTCGAGGAACTCATTACTTGTCATGCCGATGTCAATGCAGTCGATGAACTGGGTAAGCACAGATTTTTGTTAGTCAAGATACAACTCTCCTGATGCAAATCTCATATGATAAAATATATGTCTGTTTGTCCTGAAACGTCTGCTTCACGTTGATACTGTTTGTTTTAGGTAAGTCTGCCTTGCACTGGGCTGCTGCCGTTAACAACGTGGATGCCACTCTTGCTTTGCTGAAGAACGGAGCTAACAAAGATATGCAAGATCTGAAGGTACGTCACAGTTTTACCTCTATGTGGCATCACCAGTTTCAGTACAGAAGGAATGTGCTTGCTTTGAGCAACTTGTTGACTTTGTTGTACTTTTCGTCCGTTCTTGCAGGAGGAAACCCCTCTGTTCCTTGCAGCACGAGAAGGCAGCTGTGAGGCTGTAAAGGTGCTGCTTGTTCACTTTGCAAACCGAGAAATCACAGACCATATGGACAGGTTACCAAGGGACATTGCTCAGGAGCGAATGCACCATGACATCGTGCAGCTTCTTGATGAATACAACACAGTCAGGAGTCCCCAGAGCCACGGAGGGGCTGGACATCAGCTTGCTGGAGGGCACACTCTGTCACCACTAATGTGCCCTCCCACGGCCTTCCTCACAAATCTAAAAAACACCCCACAGAGCAAGAAGAATCGTCGACCTGGGGTCAAAGGTTCCAGCCTGGGAGGCCAGCACGCTACTAGTCTGAAAGACTCAGTAAAGGCTCGCAACAAGAAGCTGACCCTGGACATGCAGAGTGCTTTACTGGATAGCTCGGTTACTCTGTCCCCAGTTGACTCACTGGACTCACCGCATGGGGGGGCTAGTAATGCTGGCTATATCACCAATCCCACTTCTCCTGTGGCCATTCAGTCGCCAGGGCTTTTCCACGCTTCCATGTCTGTCCCAAACACCCCGATGGTACATAGTAGCATGATGGAAGGGGGTGGCCCCTTTGCTGTATCTCTTGCTCAAATCAATGACCTTGGAGCTGGAGCTATGTCCTTGCAGGGTCGCATCGCTATGGCTTCAGATGTCAATCATGGATATGTGCTGAGTTCTGGCCAGCTGGGGGTCAACATGGGTATGGTCAGTCCTGTCAGTGTTCCCTTTGACTGGCACAATCGCATCCCTCCTTCCTCCCAATGTGGTCAGCAGGTTGTGAGTATGGTGCAAAGCAGCCAATCAAGCATGCATCCCCAGAGCCCCGCCATGCAGCAGCAGCAGCAGAACATGCTGATGCACCAGCAGCAGCTGTATCGCAGCCCCATGCTGCAGCCCACACCTGTGACCTCCACACCCACGATCAGTCCAGTAAAGCTGCCTTCCATCGCTGAGCAACAGCTCATTAATCACAACATCACCACCCAGCAAAGCATCGCTCGCATGAGCTCTTCCACCCCACCGACACCTCAGACGTCACAGCCCCCGCCCTCGTTCTTTCAGCAGCAGCAGCTTCCTCAGCAACCCCCGCAGCCGCAGCCTCCGTCTCAGCCCACCCAGGGAGCCGTGCCACCAGGCCAGCCCCCTCAGGCTCTTCCCCCACAGCCAAGTGCCAGCACTACAGGGAACGAGGATTATCCAACCCCTCCCTCACAGCACAGCTATTCATCAGCGGTGGATGCCACCCCCAAGCATTACCTCAACTTGCCCAGTGAGCACCCTTATCTCACCCCTTCCCCAGAGTCTCCAGAGCACTGGTCCAGTCCCTCTCCTCACTGCGTCTCTGATTGGTCAGATTCCACACCCAGCCCAGCAGTTGCTGTCCCAAACCAGACCCAAATTACTCAAATCCCAGAGGCCAATGGCAAGATGCAGGTGTTTGCGTGAACATCTCTATGGCCTTAACCTGAGAAGGGACCTGAGAGAAAGACATTCTGTGGACTGGCTCCCTGCCTGTCTGTTTTTATCCATCAGTCTGTTTCCAAGATTTTCTTTGGATTTGACTCGATGATGTGTGTCACGAGGACCGTCTGCTAGTGGTTTTTGCAGAGGAAAAAAACGTAAAGGGAAATGTGTGTTGTCTGAAAGAAACAGCAGACAATTTAATGAAGTAATTCTGTCACAGATGGACTTATTTTTTATTATAAAAAGAAAAAAATATATGAAGAAAACCAAGTCTTTAGTTTTAAAGGCTTAGGGACATTTTCTTGACAACTAACAAACATTTTAAAAGTAGATAAGACGGATAATGCTGAAGGGATTTCATTTATTTTTATTTATTGTTAATATCTATCTAAACGGCTTTTTAGTTGCCTCTCTGTACTAGTTTCTCATGTGAACTGCCATCAGCGTGTTAAAATGGTTCTAGAAAATTAATTTCAACGTTACTCTGCAGTAGTGGTATTTGAGTGAGTTATGGTAAATAATTACTTTATATATGAGTATTATGAGCAAGAATGTAGATGAGTGTCTTCGAAGCACTTCAAGCCTCACGGGGCAACATTGGACGACAGTGGGTATTTATAATAAAAGAGGGCATTTCATTTGTTTAAATTTACATGAATCTTTAAATTGCTAAAAGGTTTTCTGTGCGATGCTTGTGTTTTAAAGCTTCTCACTGACACTAAAGGGTTTTTACTGCCGGCCTTCACTTGTTAAGCATCCTTTATTCTATTTATGTTCCCTAGAGACGTTTTTGGCCTGCAAAGTCAGCCTGTCACTGCCCTCGTATTTTCTTTGTTTTCGTCTTATACTCTGTATATTTGTGGAAAACCATGAATACTTTTTTCTTTTAAACAATACTTCAGATGTATTAAGCTATGCTTATATCGGCTGCTATTTTATATCTCTCTTCCCTGCAAACATTCCTACAGTTTTTCCGTCTTGCCCTGTTTGGACGCAGTGCCTTTACGTGGCATCCAACAACTCAGAACCAGACAACAGACTGATTGGAGCTGTTGAGCCCGTGCCCTTAAATGGACTGTCAGTAGACGTCTGTGCTGGTGCCCTCACCCTGTTTCTGCTCGTATCGGTGAGGGAGTGGTGGTCATTGTGTGGGTGTGGCTGCTGGACTGTGACTGCTGATGCCCTGTCACTCCTCAGGGAGGTGTTTTATGGCATGCAGAGGGATGGTTCCCCTGCATCGACAGTAGATACCAGTCCAAGAGCCACGGAGATGCATCTTGATCATTGTGAAAAGAGAATGAGGAAAAAAACACTACTGTGTAGTGCTGCAACCCCTTTTTTCTTTACTAAATTCAGAGATGAGAGTCTTCTAATTATTCACAGCTTTGTTATTTTCATGTAACCTGAGCATGTAAAACAGAGTTTATTCTCTTATGCACATTTCAGCAAAGTTCTTTATGATTAAAGTTCACCAACGTTACCTTTGCATTTTCATCCCACGAAAAGGGATGGAGTAGCACACCACTCTAGCTACTGGCTGTTGATGTGGTGACCTGAACACTGCCTGTAGTTATGTCATAAACTGAGTTTATCTTTATTTGAATTTTTATCTCCATTATAGAACCAGCCATCGTTCTTTTAGACCTGGGAAGTGTTATTGTCCACAGTCTAATTTGCATTTTACTTACATGTTTTTTTTATTTTTTTCATTTGTGCTAATTCTATATAACTGGTCTTATAATTTCCCCACCAGGTCGCACTAAGTGTTTTTGTAAATTCACAGTTTCAGTTTGTAAATATATTTGTTCTGGGTAGATCCTTGCTTGAGAAGTCTTATGTTTCAAAAAATAATTGTTATGTACTAAAAAGGACAAAAATAAAGTGTATTTCATTTAGCATTATCTGATGGAGTCTGATTGGTTGGTGTGAACACTCAAATGGGCGTACCTTAGTGTGTGAGAGTGTGTGATTGGTTGCTTGTCTCTGTGTCCCTGTGATGGACTGGCGACCTGACCAGGGTGTCCTCCAGAGGTGTGGACTTGGGTCACATGACTTGGACTCGAGTCATTATTTTAATGACTTCTGACGTGATTTGATTAAATCTATAAAGACTTACGACTTGACTCGGACTTGAACGCCAATGACTTGCGACTTGAATCGACTTACATCTGTTGACTTGATGATGTCTTGAGCATATCTGATATTTTAGCACAAAAGTGGCACAACACGGACAAAAACCATAAATCATTCTTCATTCTGGGTGTGATCTTGTACTGCTAAATGCAGCAGCACGTTGTTTATAATCATTTTCAGTTTCTGCTTGTTTGAGCAAATAAATGAAGCTTTAAGAAGCTTTATTTCTGGAATTTATTCATTATCATCGTCATTAAATTTAAGTTGGACAGATGATTTTAATATGACTTGAAAATTCAAAGTTAAGGACTTGGACTCGACTTGGACTTGGTTGTCTTTGACTTGGACTTAACTCGAGATTTGACTGGAAAGACTTGTGACTTGCAAAGCAGTGACTTGGTCACACCTCTGGGTCCTCCACTTCTCGTCTGATGACTGCTGGAGATGGACATGTGCTCCCCACAGGCCTAGTGAAGAGAAGTGGTGCAGATAGGAGAGATTAGGCAGATTGGCTTGCTTTTAGCACTCTCTAGTATCAGTTTGTAGAACCGAAAGCAAAACTTATCTCCTTGCTGTGTGTTTGTCTTTTTAACACCTTAATCTAACAGCTGAAGTGTCTCCCAGCCTTCATTAGTGTCTACAGGAGTGATTCATCGCTAGAATCAGCTGTGTTCATGTCTAAAACATGCAGGAAACATGCTGGTAGTCCCAACAGAGTGGCCCACCAGTGGAATATTCTGGCCAAAGAGGATGATGGGGCTGGGTGGCCTTTCATCAACCCTGTAAAGGGTCGTTTTAGCACGTACTGGCTCAAGAACATGATTTAAAATATGAAAACATTGCATCGTATCCCTTTGATGTCATTTGGTTTATGTGAGTAAAAAATCAGAGAATATTTGAGTCAAATATTCAAACACAGGTCTTTGTGTTTAGACACATTCAGCTTGTTCTAGTCACTAAAATCAACTTGCACATACCGGGTAAATGTAACTGTCTACCATTTTTACTTTGATATTTTCAACCTAAAATAATGAGTCATATTTGAGGAACTAGCTACAGAATCTGCATGAACATGTTTCTTCATCAAAACAATAACATAAAATCTAAAGCAGAACCACACATTTGACAGTTTTCTGGTGGAAGACTCAGCACCTGCTTGTTTTCTGAAATTTAAGAACAAAACGTCTTGAGCTTTTTTACGATCAAACGAAGTTTAAGCTAAAAAAATAAAAACAATTAATAAATGTAATAAATAGTCAGTGCATATCTACATAAAATAAGTAAAGGGCAATTACAGAGCCAAATATAAACTGAGGAAATTTCTATTACTGATTTTACTAAAATGTCTTGAAGGAAGAAAGACCCATAGCTGTCAATCAAAATAATTTCCAGCCACATCCCAAAACGTTGCTTTGACTGATGTTTCCTGAAGAAAATCATTTAAAATGTCTTTTTTTTATTTTGTTTTTGCATATTAGCTCTTCATTTCTTCCCTCCTCTCTGCAGCAAGCGCAGAACACGAAGAGTGGCATTGAACATGCCATGCCGTGTTTAAACACCATCTAGAACGTGTCCAGAGGCAGCCTGTCGCTTGGATCTGCGTGTTTAAGAGCAGTCATGGGCATGTAGAGACGGTTGGCCTGGTGGTGCAGAGGAGGGTCCTTCGCTGTGATCACTTTAACAGTTTGCTAAAAGTAGAAAAAACACAATTTTAAATCTTGCCATGGTTTCATACAGAACAGAAAATATATTTTCCAAGAAGTTTCAGGCTGAGGTTGAAATGCACTTGCCTCAGCTACTTCTTCAGGTGTCTGGCCTAATGTCGTAAAGATCTTGTGAGAGTAAGGCAGGTAAATTTCACGGAAGATCCTGGCAGATCCATATTTTCTGCTTCTTTTTACCATTTTTTTTCTAATTGTGTAATCACTGGTCTGGGCTCCACCAGAGTAATCCTTGTGACAGGAAAAGGATCATAAAACAAGGTGAATCTTACCGATGTGGACTCATTGCTAAATACAGAGATGTCTGTAATTGTACATGGATGCATTTATAGGGACAAATGATCACTTGGTGTTAAACTTCATTGCTTGCACTGCCAGACTTTCACAAAATCCTTCCACTGCAAATTTGGAGGTGGCGCAGACATCGTTGAAGAGGAGTCCTGTGTGTAAACGTACAGCGTGGAGAGGTTTTAGAGTATTTTAGCTGTATTTTAAGATTCACACACAAACAAACACACACTGTAGTCCCTTGACGCTGCTCATCACCACAATATGGCCTCTCTGCCGCTCCTTCATTTCTGGCAGCACCTCTTTCCCCAGCCTGGCCAGGCCAAAGAAGGTGGTGTCAAAGACCTTCTTCATGTCAGTGATACTCTGGCACTCCACAGGCCCGATCATACCAACACCTGCATTGCTCACTACAGAAGGTTTTATGTTAGTGAGGTCTACTCTAGAAGTCCTGGTGTGAGATGGAGAGGTGACTGACCGAGGACATCCACTTGTCTGTTGGGCAGGCTGCTCACACATGCTCTGATGGAGGCTTCACAGCAGGCATCCAACTCTTTGATCTCTAGGGTTTTGTTTAATGTGTGACCAGCTGCTTTCTCCAAAGGCCCCCGTTTGCTAAGATCCCTTATTGTGGCGACCACTGGCTCGAACAAAGGAACATTTAACATTTAGTTACTCAAATCATACAAGTTTCAGCAGAGAAAGGAGAGCTGACCTTTGAACCGTTTCAACTCATCTTTGGCCAGCCGAACAGCGACAGCCAAGCCAATACCAGAGGAGCAACCGGTAACCAGAACCCTCCTGGTGGTCATCGTGCCTGACCTCTGACCTCAAGGCTTAGGTAGACTTGTAGTAGATGTGATAAATAAATAAACAAATAAATAGAGATTGCAAAAAAGATTTGGTCAAACAAATCTCGTCAGGAAGTTAGTATATCATTTTTTTGTGGTAATTTTTTAAGAACAACAAATGTGATTTCTTTGTAGACTCACAAATTGATATAAACTGACACATTAATTGAATCTATTCACGAGAAGCCATTAAATCCACTGTAAACCAAGGTCTGAGTGGAAAAGTCACACATTCTAAGTCCAAGCATAACTAAAGTGAGAAGTTTAAATATTTGTTGCTTTCAGCTTAATAACCTGTGAAACGAGCAGCACTGATCTAAAACCCTCCGATGATCAGGACAAACACATGCTGCTAGAGATTACTTAAATGGGTCAGGCAAATGCAGTATGGGAGTTGTAGTTCTCTGATAGATTAAAAAAACTACACAATGACACAAATTCAATAGTATTTCTGTTGGACTTTTTAATTATGGTTTTGTTGCTTGGGCTGTCCCAGTTTGATTAAATTAACCCTTTGATGCATGAATTATGAAATCTTCAACCATGATTTTTTAACATTTTTTTCATTCGTCTTTAGGTGTGAATGAAACAAATTTAAACAAATATTTTTTCTAAAATTTTATAATTTACAAATAATTTAGTACACGTCCACTTCAGTGGACAGCGTGCATTCTGAGCATGAAATATGTTGGCTTGGCTTACTGAAGTCCAAACGGAGGGGCTCATAAGCAATAAAGTCTTCAACAGCTGTGCTTAATAGCAAAAACAAATAAATAACAAATTTGAGTACCTGTCCACTGTAGTGACTATGCATCAAAGGGTTAAGGATTTTAAACTATTTGTTAAAAACAAAAATTAGTCAGTCCACAAGCAAAATGTTTTTTATTCAATTTCTTTGGTTGTTTGTTTCCTCTGCAAGTTAATGGTTCGATTTCCTTAAACAAAGTGTGCTGTGAGCCAATCCTGTTCCCAGGGGTGGACTGACCTTCTGGAGCACCGGGAGCCGTCCCGGTGGGCCGACAGTGTGGGCAGGGCCGTTGGGCCGGTGTCAGACTCGAAGACTGGGTTCGGGAGGAAGAGCGTTTATTATACAGACGGTGGGCTGAAAGCGGTGCTGGAAAGGCTGACGGATGAGGTCTGAGGAGGAAAGGTGGAGGTTTAGCTGTAGTAGCTTTGGAAATACTCTGATCATGGATCACGGTGGAACGATGACTGAGTGAAGAGCCGGTGTAGCGTCTTCCATATATAGACATCGATTGACGCAGGTGAAACGTGGAGGGAATCCCCGCGAGGGGCATGCTGGGTAATGTGGTCCAAGACGGAAGCCGGTCAGCTGGGAGAGCCCGGCCTGGGGGCTTGGACTCTGACAGCCGGTCTGACATTTATTAATTATTTCATTCGTTCATTCATCCACTCGTTGCGTTCGTCTTTCTCTCTTGCCCTCAGATTTCTTACAAATTGGGCCGGCCAATAGGTTGCTGAGGCTAGCAGTGTGTTGCCCACATCAAGATGTATTATTGGTCTGTTTCTCATTGTCATGGGCTGACTGGTTCAGGGCGCTGCGACAGGGCTGTCAATCTTAGGCAGCACAAACCAGGGTGGGCGGGGCCTCATCGCTAGTCGGCGGGAGTGATGGTTGGACAGTGCTGCGGTCGGACAGTTGATGTGGAAAATGGATAAGCCTAGGAAACGTTTGGGTGGCGCAGAAAAGTTGCGGCGAAAAAAATTGAAGTCTCTAGAGGTGGGAGCTGCTAAGTGTTCTAAGTTGACAGACCTATTTGGTCCTGGGCCGGCCTTTGTCACCACCCCAGCAGGTGGTGCTGGTGCGCCAGGAGAAGGGCCGACACATGCAGTAAGTAGCATTAGCATGGGGCTGGTTAGGTTACATTTTAAAACGTGTGTTCAATAACAAGTAGAAAAAGTTTAATATCTATAGCGGTCATCATGTAATATGAGCTAAAAGGCTGTGAGTGTTGATATTTGGTTTGATTTAGTTTTAGGTTGCTTGCTTATTTATTTCTATAGAAAATGTTTTAAAAAATGATACGCTCATTAAAACACCATTAAAAGAATATATTTTAAGATCTCTATCAATCTATATATACATATAATTATAAATAATTTTATAAGTAGTCTTATTTTATATTGGGTGTCTTAATGGCTGAAAATGGATAAAAAACAGTTACATTTTAAAGATTTGAGATTCTAGTGAAAAATAAAGAACATTTCTCCAAATGTTCTTTAATGTGATCATTATAATTCTAATGCTTACAACTTTATGTTTTTATTGTCTGCATTGCGTAGCCTATATCTTTATTAAATGTGCGTTTAGCTGTAAAGTGGTAATTCTCTCTAATGTGTACAGAGGTGGACATCAGTGCTGCAGTGAAATTCCCAAGATCAGTCTGCTTTGCTAACAAATATAGTTAAGTCTGACCTGCATTCTAAATAAATACCGTTAGGTGGAAACATCAGTAGGCATTGAGTTATTGATAAAATCCCTAACAGCCAGAATGGAAGAAGAGCATGATGGGTCATCCTGGATCTGAGCCTGTTCTGTGTATTTACCTACAGCAGGGGTGGGCAATTATTTTTTCCATGGGGCCACATGAGGGCCCATGGAAAAATTGTGGAGGGCCAGGCCAAAAGGCTGAAGTCAATTATGCATAATATTAATGGTATTTCTTTATAAAAAGCAGTAAATACCATTGTTTTTTCAAGCTGGTAAGAGTAGACTATATGTTATAAATGAGCAAAAAGGAAAAAGTGAGGTTGGCTTACAAAAATGTGATTTATTCAAATTTCCCAAGGCAATGGTAAACAAAGTGCGCATTTGTTTTTTGTTAAACATTTGTGACATATATTAGTTAACAGTTTCAGTCACATTCACTCCAAAACACATTCTGAGTTTCAAATATTGTTGGAAAGAGGTTCTTAGCATTCTACAGACACACAGTATTGTCTGTAAAATAAAATCACTGAACTGTGATCTTGAGAAAGAGGTTTAAAAAAAAGTGTCCCAGTTCACTGCTAGTTGCCTACATTTGTGGTCCAAACACCTTATTTTGTGTTTTTAAGCGATTTTTTTCTTATTCAGTGCGAGAAATCTCTCTGCTGGGCTTTAACGAGTGCATCAAAGTCAGGTTGAATGTCTGAGGTGGAGATGCGAAGCACAGCTGACAAATAATCATCACATTAATCAATCATTAATTAATCAATTAATCAATCACATAATCCACATTAATCTGGGTGCTAACTTTACTAGCATACTGTGCTAGCGATAGCAAGTCGGATGCTAACGCTTTAGTGCTGCTAATGCCTGTAAATCTAAAGTAAAGTTTGTCGACATCTTATAGTGATATAAAGCTTACCGCTCTGCTGCTGTATCCCGTTCCTGCCACATTCAGATGGAAATGACTCCTTTTAGATAGATGAAGCCCTCGGTACTTACTAGCCTGGGAGACACGAACGAAAGAACGAACCACGCGCGCACACACACACACAAACACAAACACACTACTTTTTCTTCTGTGTTTTTTTAGCAGTAGTGTCATCAGCTCCTGGGTTTAAATACTGCCACACCACCCTTCCTTAAAACGAGGAACAGTTTTGAGCTGTGTGGCTAAAATAACCAGACATTCTGCATTTTTCCAATAGGACTACAAAAAAGTTTTTTTTTGTCATCACTGCATCTGAGTTGTTTGCACAGGAAAGCACTAGTAGGCCTAGGTGTCATAATGAAAACATGACAGCCATTGGTGTTGTTGTGCACATGAACATTTAGTTCAATATGGACTAATATTTCTATTGTGGATTATTCTGTGGTTTGAAGTTATTTCCCCTTACAATGCAAAATGCTTTTCTTATTTGCCCAGACACAGGTCATGGGCAAGTCCAGCTGGTCAATTCAGGGAGAGAGCCAAACCAATACAGGCAACCCAAAGACAGCACCACCTGAGAAGGAAAAGACAGTAGAGAGTGAGGAGTATGCCAGCCCAAAGACAGCACCACCTGAGAAGGAAAAGACAGTAGAGAGTGAGGAGTATGCCAGCCCAAAGACAGCACCACCTGAGAAGGAAAAGACAGTAGAGAGTGAGGAGTATGCCAGCCCAAATACAGCACCACCTGTGAGGGAAACAGCTGTAAAGCACCAAGAATGTGACAATGAAATAACAGATTTTTTTTCACAACCTGATCAGAAAAATCTCCTATCGTTTCTAAATTACCATCCTAAGCAAAAAAGTACCAATCCTGTGGTGCAAAAAGTGTTTTGTAGCAGAGATGGTACCAGCAGAAAGTGGCTGACGTACTGTCCAGAGCGTCACATGCTGTATTGCTTCATCTGCATGGCATTTGGTAAGAGAACTGATAGTAGTCTGTTCATCAGTGGAATGTCAGAATGGAAGCATATACACCAGCGCACCGAGGAACATGAGAGAAGCAGTGCACACAGAAACTGTGCTGAAGCATACCTCTTGAAATCTGCCAGTGCCGATATCAGCAGTTTGTTTTGTGGCAGTCAGATGACCGCACACAGAGAGCAGGTCAAAAAAAGACGACAGGTTTTGGAGCGCATAATAGATGTCATCAAGGTTCTTGGGAAGAGGGGGCTTGCATACAGGAGGTCAGAAAATGAGGCAGCATATACCCTGGAAGACAACACAGTTGACCATGGAAATTTCCTTGAACTCATACTTCTACTGGGGAAGTACGATTTCTGTTTAAAAGAGCACCTGGATAGCTGCATTGAGGAAAGCAAAAAGTTACATTTGTCTGGAGGCACAAGAGGCAGAGGTTCCCTTGTAACTTTTCTCTCCAAAACCACAGTCAACTCAGTGATAGATGCAATTCACCATCTGATTCAAGAAAACATATCACATGAGATCAAGAAAGCAGGAATGTTTTCAGTTCAGCTGGACACAACACAGGACATCTCCTCTCAGGATCAGTGCTCTATTATTATGAGGTATGTTACTGATGTTGTTAATGAGAGGCTTGTTGCAGTGCTGAAGTGTAGTTCATCTACTGGACAGGCCTTTGTTGACATGCTGTCAGATGTTCTGGAAAAAATGGGCCTCAGCAAGACAATGTGCATTGGAAATGTGACCGATGGGGCATCAAACATGCAAGGCCATTATAAAGGATTCTCTTCACTATTGTCTGCACAATCACCAAACCAGGTGCATGTCTGGTGCTATGCACATGTGCTAAATCTGGTGCTTGCAAACACAACCCAGGTTGTTATTGAGAGCGGGTCCCTTTTTGCGCTCATCAATGGCATTGCTGTATTTATCAAAGAGTCACATCAAAGGATGAATGTGTGGGAAGAGACAGGCCAAAACAAAAGACGGAGAATCCTTGCTCCTATTGGTGAGACACGTTGGTGGGCCAAGCACGAGGCCCTGAAGAAGGTGTTTGGCTCCTTTGGAAAGCCAGAAAATGGTCTGTATGTCGATGTACTGTTGACATTATCAGCTATCCAGAAACGGACAACAGTAAAACCCTCCATCCGTGTCATGGCCAGAGGATATGCTGAGTCTTTGCTGAAGTATGAGACGATCTTAACAGCTCAAATCTTCCTTCGCATATTTGAGCATACCTCTCCATTGTCTAAGTACCTTCAGACAGCAGGATTGGACATCCTCTCTGCCCACAGAATGGTAGTATCAACACAGGATACACTGAAAAGCTTGGGAAGAGATTTTGAATCTGTAAAAAAAGCAGCAGACACATTTGTCAAGTGGACAAACACAAAAATCCAAGAGAAAGATGACATGGACATTGAAGTGGAGGCCACATTGCCACAAAAGAGGAAGAGGATGAAGAAAGTCTTGCCTGGAGAGATGGCTCAAGATGAAACCCTGGATGATGCAGAAAAATCCTATCAGGTGAATGTGCATAACCAGATCATGGACACCGCAATTGAAGCCATTCATAGGCGCTTTTTAATGCATGGGAATCTATATGCTGACTTGGCATGTCTGGATCCCAGACACTTCCCTCAGCTCTGTACCAATGCTCTTCCTCAGTCTGCTCTTCAAGATTTGAGCAAGTGCTTGCAAGGATTTGACAGCAGGGCAACTAAGGAAAATATACAGGCTGAATTGAAAAGCTTTGCACTCCAGTGGAACAGGTTGAAGGCATCCCCATTGGCAGAATACAAGGCAAGAACAGTACAAGATGGATCAGATGGCGAAGAGAACAACACAGAAGAGGTTGAGATTACTCCCATAAGCTGTTGCTCCTGCAAAGAATGCCCTCTGTGCTGCTACCAAATACTTTGTCGTTTCAACATGCTAACAGATGCATACCCTGTTCTAGGCCTTGCTTATAAATACCTCCTCACATTATCCCTTACACAGGTGGCTTGTGAGCGCACATTTTCCATCTTGAAGTTTATTAAAAACAGGCTCAGAAGCACCCTCTCATCCGATAAACTGGAGGCATTTATGTTGATGGCCTCGGAGAAAGACATTCTCATGGCTTTGGACTCTGACTCTGTGATGGATAGACTAGCAGAGAAGAGTGAGCTGCTTAAAAAGCTGCTCCACTGAATAGGGGGGAAATATTTAATAAAGTCGTCATCACACATTATAGATTTTGTAATTCCTTATTTGTTGTTTTAATGATCCTTTACATCCTTTCAGGAGACGCTGAAAAATTTGCCAACTTCTATGTAGTGTCCGTGGCTAATGTAGTGGGCCGGTCTGAAGAGAAAATTCCAGGGCCGAATTTTGGTCCCAGTCCACCCCTGCCTGTTCCTGATAAACGTCCCTGGCAGAATTTAAAAAGGTCACACGGTGCTGCAGTTTTCAAACTGACCACAAGAGGGCAGACGCGTCATTTTAACGGTCATGAAACGCTGTTTTTGCCTCTGGGGGGGATCTGAACGCAGAATGTGCTGAAAAAGCCAGTCTCACTCTCACGCACACGTACACATGCACGAGCATACACACATGCACACATACACATGCACGAGCATACGCACATGCACCCCCCCCCCCCCCCCCCCCCCACACACACACACACTTGGAAAAAAAACAAGTAAATAAAATAAATGGCTTCAGGCTCAACTTTTTACACGTACTTTATGCATTACCACAACTAAATGTAGCAGATTTACAAACATGAGACGTTCCTCGTGTGTGTTAGTAAATAGATGCTGCTGATGTCCTCTTGAAGGGTAACGCAGCTCTGTCTTTTGGATACATGCTGGTACAGTTCACACTGGCTCAGTTCCTCCTCTCCCAGGGAGCCACAACAATGAACCAGCTTGCACAAGCAAAGCTCCTCCTCTTCTATAATGAAGTATCAACTGTGTGGGCCACATCAAATCTTACCACTGACAAAACTGTTATAGGCTATAACAATTTTACCTATAGCTACTGAACATCAACATTTTAATAAAACCTCATGTTAGACTTCATTTCCTGTAGTTTTGTTAGATTAAATGATTAAAATGTGAGAGTTTTACCTTCTTCCTTGTTTTGTCCTCAGATGTAAAATAACACCTTTGTAGTTTTGTGATATTAGTAAAGCTAATACATCTGGTTTTTCTTTGGGAATACGTTTTGGGTTTCCAAAAGTGTGTATTAGGCCTGTTTTATAATCACGACATCTGTTAAAATACTTGTGAATGCCCAGAGAAAACAGGAGGTTATGGGACAACCTGTTGTGCTGACTAAGACGTTTGTCTGAGTTATACAACTCTTGTACAAGAAAAAAGAAAACGACTAGGTCTCTAAACACTCCAGGAAGCTGCAGTTACATAATTTTTGTGTTTGTCTTTAAATGTAAAGATGTACTTAAAATGTGTGAGTGAGCAGTTCTTCTTAGAAAAGGGGACAAACACCACAGATCGGGTGTTCTGCAGGGAAAATAGCAGGTATCGTGTGGATTTTAACAAAGGAGGTCATCCATTTCTCCTTAATTCCCTTAAGAAAGCAGTGCTTACAAAGACGAATTATTATTTCCTTTTTATTCACCTTTTTGTCCGCTGTAAACCAGATCCAAAGGGGTCACATCCACATCGCTGTACAATGTAGTGGTAAATGATATTGCATGCGAACATGGTGGTTTTTCTATGTTCCAATAAACTAAACAACAGAGGACTTTGTTAGATGATATGTGTTGATCTTTGGTTTTATTAAACTAATAATTCATCCACATGTATACCCAGACATTTCCTGGCATTGTGTTTATGACAATTTTTCAATAGTCTGATAACATTTAATAAATGCAATATTTACTTGGTTGGTACAGAGAGACTACATCTTTATTCTTCTCTACATAACGGTACTTGGGTTACAAAACGTGCAAAGGACACAACAGCCCTTCCCAACTCCTCATATTTCTGTGGTGATTCGTTCATTGGTCTTTAGCCTCCCCGTCCGGTTTGAATTAGGAGCTCAGGGAGGAGCCAGGTTTCCTTTCATAAGCAGAAAGGGAATAAAAACTCAGTCTGGAGCAGGCTGCGAGGCAGAACACAGCAGAACCACTTCCATGATGTGAGTACAGTTTTAACTATGTTGGCAGGAAAAGGTTGATCATTTGGCACATTAATCAAAGGTACTTCCTTTCAAATGACCGTGTTTTTGTTGTAAAAGTAAGAAAACTAATCGAAACAATAAATGTGTGTTTCAGGTTGTACCTCTCAGCTCTGGTAGGCTTTCTTCTGGTTTTACCAGCTGATGCTTTAGTTGGGTACGAAACGTTAAGTTGTCCCATTTTTATGTTGTTTTTGCTTACAGTTAATGCTCGTGCCTATATTTCCGAATCAGCCGTTTAAAAATATTTTTTCTTCCTAATTTCACAGAAACTGCTCTCAACTAAACTTCAACACAGAGACAGAACAATGCCTGTTGTTTGGTCTGGTGTGTAAAGGCAACTATGAGGTGAGTCTTTGCACACAAAAGCTTTCAAGTAAAACGATCAATAGTGAAAAGCTGACTGTTGTTTCAGGTGCGCCACTACGATTCTGCAAAATGGGTTACGACCAACGACACCTCCTTCTCCATAGAAACGATGATGACGCAGTCGTTTAAACGGCTGTATGGCTACATCACTGGTGAAAATGATCAGGGTGTGTGAATCTTCATTTTTATTTTTAGTATTGGACGAATGAGAGAGCTAACACATATCTTATTTATGAAATCAAAATGAATCAATGATTTTCTTAATTTGGTGTTGTTTTTGTTTTGCTATTTTTATGCATGATTATTTTATTTTCAACGTCTTTGTTGTCGTTTCTGTTCAATTTCAGGCAAAGAAATAGCAATGACTACACCTGTTGTTATTAAATCACCTGAGAAGTACTTTTGGCATCGAGCTGTCTACACAATGAGCTTCTTGCTGCCAGCTGAGCACCAAAAGAACCCGCCTAAACCTACTAATAAAGATGTAATTAAAATGGCATTGATAGTGCTTTCATTTTTACCCTTTGGGTTCTGTCCCTGCTTAAAAAAAAACAGCACAAGTTATGTGTAGGATGCTGGGGTGCTGGTCTAGATTGCATGTCCACAATCCAGTTAACAGCATCCCATGCTGGTCTGGTGTAACATGCCAGTCCAGCATACCAGCACCCAAAACACAACACATGCAAGGATTTTTCTGCAGGGATCTTCGTGCAGATAGTAACACTTTTGTGACTTGCAGGTTTACATCCAAGAGACCCCAGAAATGAACGTGTATGTGATGACTTACGGCGGGTGGATGATGAGTATTACTGACACCTATAACTCCTGTAAACTCGCCTCTTCACTTGATTCTGCTAAAGCAAAATACAACAGAGATTCCCACTACTCTGTTGGGTATAACAGGTAAGCGTTTTAAAAGGTTTAAAAATAGAAATCATCACGTGGATTTTAGCTTTCAGATTAAAAATAGTTGTGTTCTGCTTCTTGTAGCCCAATGATTTTGAGGGAGCGACACAACGAGGTGTGGTATGTGGCTGAAGGTGAGCTCGTCTGCCCCAGCCAGTGAGTGATTTGATCTAATATCCCCCTCCCTGGACCTGATGGGGCCTACTGCACGGCAGAGACACAACAGCTGTTGTTAAATATCACATATCATAACAGAAATGTGTGGGAGCACATCAACATAATGTAATTTCATTCAAAATTTTCATGTATCATCTCATCAGATTACGTTGATTTATGGACAATAAACGTATGCAATGATTCGTTCGATGTTTTGCAATTTTTTTTTAGCTTTGTAGCGTATTTCTACATACTAGAATCAACACTGTTTGCTATCAGTTGTTAGATTCTGAGAATGATCAAGCACATTAGCATATGAAGCTTATATCATGTATAAATATCCAGGATACTTATGTAATCGATAGAAGTTCATACACCAACCTGCTTGGTCCATATTTAATCCAAAGATTAATATTTAATTTAAGATAATTAGATTTAATAGCAAAAGTTTATTTTTTTGAATCAGAAGTTAGGAATTGTTGCTTTTTCAATTACCAGAAATACACACCATTCTGTGTTTCATTTCAAAGATGAGGCAGAGTTTTAAAATGAAGAATTTATTACTAACAGTTTTAAACTTGACAATTTAAATGACAATTAAAAATGACAATTCATGGATGACAATTTACCAGCGTTGACATTAAACTTGGTATCAAAAGCTTTACCTGTGTCTGGATGGAAAGCTAAAATGAAACGAGAGCTTGGATGTGTGAATGGATTCTCAGAAGGTTTCTGTCAGAGAGAGGAACTCGTTCTGGGTTGGAAATGATGGTTTTGCAGCTAACTCGGTTGTTACTTAGAGAAACAGCATCAAACACAATCTGTGTGCTACCTCGCCCAGCAAGACGACTCTCTGTGTGGATCCAGAGGTCAAGGAGGATGTTGTCAGCCTCAGGGTACTCGGTCCGGTAGAGAAGACGCGAGTAGAACCGATCCTCTGGTCCAGAGATGTTGCAGGGTACACAGTGTCAAGCGTTTGGCTTAACTCTGAAGGAGTTTTACGTCTTACTTAAAAATCAATAACTCTGAAGGAGTTTTGCATCAGCTGGTTACAGGTGCGTTTATTCGAAGCTATTCTATCGGCGTGACAGAACAGCAGGTGGAGGTTCAGGGTGGCCGTTCCCTTATCCTCGGGATGGTGGTTGTTTCACGAACTGAACTTTTGCTGCTGGAAATTTAGTTTTAACAAACCCCTCAGAACACGCCCACTCTCAGCAACAAAGCTTTGGTCATGAGTCAAAGACACGTGATGATGTTACCCTTACCCTGGATATCCCTTCTGAATGAGGCTGGTTACGTGCGAGATGACCTTCTGGTTTGCTGAACACACATAACCAATTATCACAACAATCATTATTACCCAAAGCATAATAAGTCATTTCAGTAATTAAAATACATTTATACTGAACCAAGAGATTATTTATGATGATTATAATAAACAGTAATAAAGTCAAAGAGTTTATTAAAATTATTATCTAAAATTATTATTGTGAAACTTGAAGTGTCCTTCTTTTGGGACGGAACAGCAGCAGATAGAGATGATATTCAGCAGACATCATGGCTCCTCGCTTGTTTAATCTGTGGGGCAAAGTTACAGTCGACCCACTTGACCCAGCTGTGAAAATGTCACCTTTGTCACAAATTAGAGGACCTTCGTGACGCTACAGCTTCGTTCTAAAATTGTTCCACAACAACAGATGGCACCACTGAGCGAAAGAAAAACGATTCCCTTCAGGATCTTTAAACCAGCGATTCTATGAAATGTAAACAGTTGACACTTTAAAATCCCTTTTAGATTGTTTAAGGGAAAAAAGGCCCCGGAAGAAAGTGGTAAATGTCCATGGTCTAGTCATTAAAAACATTGGGAGCATTATTTCAAATAGAAGTTTCATATTTCCACGAAGGTTTTACCGCTTAACTTGGATGTAGTGATATCTTAGATCAGTTGTCCATCTATCTTTATATCTATCTATCCGTTTTCAGCCGCTCATCCGGGATCGGGTCACGGGGGCAACAACCTAAGCAGAGAGGCCCAGACTTCCCTCCCTCCAGCCACTCTGGTCAGCTCCTCCAGGGAATGCTAAGGCGTTCCCAGGCCAGCCAAAGAGATAATAATTCCGGCGTGTCCTGGGTCTTCCTTTAGGTCTTCTCCCAGTTGGACGTGCCCAGAAAACCTCACCAGGGAGGTGTTCAGGAGGCATCCTGACCAGATGCCTGAGACACCTGAATTTGATCCTCTTGATGTGGAGGAGCAGCGGATCTACTCCGAGCCCCTCCCAGATGACAGGACTTCTCACCCTATCTCTAGGACAGACACCCTGCAGAGAAAACTCACTTCAGCCGCTGGTACCCACTTGGATCAGTTATAACTAATTTATTGGTTAAACTTGAGTACATTTCTTTACTTAAACACTGTTACTAATAAAACTCCAGAGGCAGTTATATTTGATTTTGTAATATTACTCCACTTCAGGATGACACATGGTCCACACATAAGCGAGGTATGGAGATGTTCTACAGTAGGATTGATGTGATGCATGACAGCAGGAATAAACCAGTTTTTGATGAATATTGTCCTCTCTGCAGTGTGTTAGCCACTCTTTGTTCTTGGTGACCTGAATGAGTCCTCCACAAATTGTCTGCTGACAAATAATGAGCTTGAAACACGACTCCAGAATATAAATGACTATTCAATGTGTTTTATAAGCTGTCCTGAGCACCCTTCAACAAACTCTAATCTTATCTGCTGAGCGTCAGAATCGTCCATTGATACGTAGAGTGATACAGTAAGTTTCCAGCAGGTGGCTATTGGTCTCTCATGAAGGGGGCTGGTTGGCTGGCTGGTGTGCTGACACACTGACTGGTTAGGAGTGTCAGTCAGGAGAGGTTTTATGACGCTCACTGCTGATCAAAGTCCAAACGTGGGCCTCAGACAAGCGTCAGTCCATCTGAGCTTTCGGGTCTGACCACCTCTGGGCTTTTCTCTGGCTCTCCTGCTGTCTCTGTCTGGTCTCCTAACCTCCAACACAATGAAGATCAAGCTAAGCTGACTTTCAAGTTCATGTCTCACCAGCAAAAATGGACATACCTGATTATTATCCACAGCTACCTCAGACACTAGTCCACCAGTCTGGTAACATCTCAGAGGATCTGTTAGTGTTGGAGGGATCATCAACATGTGAGTACTGGATGGAGGAGCTCAGATTCATGTAGGGGAAACTGTTTGAGGACTGGTGTTGTTACCTAAATGCATCTGTGTTCTGAAAGCCAGATAGGAAGCCAAACTCATCCACAAGATACATTTATTATGTGGAAAAGCAAAAGACACGACTGAAGCTTTCATTTAAAAGCCAACACGAGTTTTCCACCATAGGTGTGCTTAATTTATCACTTTGGTAGATGGGGTCTGGGAATTATGCAAGAGTCATATCTGTAATCGTAATAAAGCAAATCAAGATGAGTGATAAGGTTCTGTCTGCAGCAGAAGGATGGTGCTGCTGATCAGCAGCTGGGAAATACACCTCATTAGATCGCTCTGGCTCGTGTCGGCAGCAACACTTTTTGGTTTACTCGACCACACTCTAACGGGTTGGACACTCTACTTTGCTGGAGTTGCTCCGGGTGAGAGGCGGAGGGCTGGGGTTGGCTTTTTGTTAGCTCCGAGACTCTCTGCCTGTGTGTTGGGGTTTACCCCGGGGGACAAGAGGGTAGCTTCCTTGCGCCTTCGGGTCGGGGAACGGGTCCTGACTGTTGTTTGTGCTTATGGGCCAAATATCAGTTCAGAGTACCCACCCTTTTTGGAGTCCCTGGGACGAGTGCTAGATAGTGCTCCATCAGGGGACTCCATTGTCCTGCTGGGGGACTTCAATGCTCACGTGGGCAATGACAGCTTGACCTGGAGGGGTGTGATTGGGAGGAACGGCCCACCTAATCTGAACTCGAGCGGTGTTTTGTTATTGGACTTCTGTGCAAGCCGCAGTTTGGCCATAACGAACACCATGTTCGAACATAAGGATGCCCACCGGTACACTTGGTACCAGGGCAGCCTAGGTCACAGGTCGATGATAGATTTTGTAGTCGTATCATCTGACCTGCGGCCGTATGTTTTGGACACCCGAGTGAAGAGAGGGGCGGAGCTGTCAACTGATCACCACCTGGTGGTGAGTTGGATCAGATGGCAAGGGAACATGCCGCGTAGACCTGGCAGACCCAAACGCATAGTGAGGGTCTGCTGGGAACGCCTGGCAGAAGAACCTGTCAAGACGGTCTTCAACTCCCACCTCCGGCAGAGCTTTGACCACGTCCCGAGAGCAGTGGGGGACATTGAGTCCGAGTGGGCCTTGTTCCACTCTGCGATTGTCGAGGCGGCTGTTGCTAGCTGTGGCCGTAAGGTGGCCGGTGCCAGTCGTGGTGGCAACCCCCGTACCCGCTGGTGGACACCAGAGGTTCGGGGAGCCGTCAGGCTGAAGAAGGAGGCCTACAGGGCGTGGCTGGTCTGTGGGTCTCCGGAGGCAGCAGACAGGTACCGGATAGCCAAGCGGGGTGCAGCAGTGGCAGTTGCCGAGGCAAAATCTCGGGCGTGGGAGGAGTTTGGTGAGGCCATGGAGAAAGACTATCGATCGGCTCCAAAGAGGTTCTGGCAAACTGTCCGGCGCCTCAGGAGAGGAAGGCAGCAACTCGCTCACACTGTTTACAGTGGGGATGGGGAGCTGCTGACGTCAACTGAGGCTATAGTCGGACGGTGGAAGGAATACTTTGAGGAGCTCCTCAATCCCACCAATGCGCATTCCGAGGAGGAACCAGAGCTGGGAGGCCTGGGGATGGACTGTCCGATCTCGGGGGCAGAAGTTGCTGAGGTAGTCAAACAACTACACAGCGGCGGAGCCCCGGGGGCGGATGAGGTTCGTCCTGGGTATCTCAAGGCTATGGATGTTGTAGGGCTGTCATGGTTGACACGTCTCTACAACATTGCGTGGTCATCGGGGGCAGTTCCTAGGGAGTGGCAGACCGGGGTGGTGGTCCCCATCTTTAAGAAGGGTGACCTGAGGGTGTGTTCCAACTATAGGGGGATCACACTCCTCAGCCTCCCTGGAAAGGTCTACGCCAAGGTACTGGAGAGGAGGGTCCGATCGATAGTTGAATCTCAGATAGAGGAGGAGCAATGTGGTTTTCGTCCTGGCCGTGGAACTGTGGACCAGCTCTATACCCTTGCAAGGGTGATGGAGGGGGCATGGGAGTTTGCCCAACCAATCCACATGTGTTTTGTGGATTTGGAGAAGGCTTATGACCGTGTCCCCAGGGGCACCCTGTGGGGGACGCTCCAGGAGTATGGGGTGGGTGGCTTTCTGTTAAGGGCCATTCAGTCCCTTTACCAGAGGAGCGTGAGTTTGGTCCGCATAGCCGGTAGTAAGTCGGACCTGTTCCCAGTGAGGGTTGGACTCCGCCAGGGCTGCCCTTTGTCACCGGTTCTGTTCATCACTTTTATGGACAGAATTTCTAGACGCAGCCGTGGTGTGGAGTGTGTCGAGTTTGGTGGCAGGAGAATCTCGTCTCTGCTTTTTGCGGATGATGTGGTCCTCCTAGCTTCATCCAGCTCTGACCTTCAGCTCTTGCTGGGTAGGTTCGCGGCCGAATGTGAAGCGGCTGGGATGAGGATCAGCACCTCCAAATCTGAGACCATGGTTCTCGACCGGAAAAGGGTGGCTTGCCACCTCCGGGTCGGGGGAGAGGTCCTACCTCAAGTGGAGGAGTTTAAGTATCTCGGGGTCTTGTTCACGAGTGAGGGTAGGAGGGATCGGGAGATCGACAGGCGGATTGGTTCGGCGTCTGCAGTGATGCGGACGCTGAGCCGATCTGTCGTGGGGAAGAGGGAGCTGAGCCAGAAAGCCAGGCTCTCGATTTACCGGTCGATCTACGTCCCAATCCTCACCTATGGTCATGAGCTTTGGGTAATGACCGAAAGAACGAGATCGCGGATACAAGCGGCCGAAATGAGTTTCCTCCGTAGGGTGGCCGGGCTCAGCCTTAGAGATAGGGTGAGGAGCTCGGACATTCGGGAGGGACTCGGAGTAGAACCGCTGCTCCTCCGGATCGAAAGGAGCCAGTTGAGGTGGTTTGGGCATCTGGTCAGGATGCCTCCTGGACGCCTCCCCGGGGAGGTGTTTCGGGCATGTCCTGCCGGCAGAAGGCCCCCGGGTCGACCCAGGACACGTTGGAGAGGTTACATCTCCAATCTGGTCCGGGAACGCCTTGGGGTCCTGCCGGAGGAGCTGGTGGACAAGGCCGGGGAGAGGACGGCCTGGAGCTCCCTAGTTGGGATGCTGCCCCCGCGACCCGGACCCGGATAAGCGGAGGAAGACGAGACGAGACACTCTAACAGGTTTGGATCCAGATAAGATTTGGTACTGTGCATTATTGCGGTTGTCTTGTACTAATAACCTTGAACTTTGGTGTTTATCATTGTTGGCATCGGTGCTGAACTCTTTTAATGAATTAATGACCTTTGATAGCACTTTCCTTTTCTTGTGAGTCAAAACAAGTTTGTCCCCTAATAATATGAATATTATTATTATTATTATTATTATTATTATTATTATTATTATTATTATTAACAATAATAATAATAATAATAATAATAATAATAGAACAGGTGTTGTTTTCTTAAACCGTTGTTTGTTTTTTAGCTCAGGAACAAAAGACGGAGGCAGCCAGCAGGCCAGCAGAGTCAGAGGACAGATGTCCCGTCTGTGGTGACAAAGTGTCTGGATATCACTACGGGCTGCTTACCTGTGAGAGCTGCAAGGTGAGGACTTGGCATGCTGTCACCACAGTCATGGTCTTCCTCTAAAGGCGTGTCGTCTGTGATGGTATCATTATTAGAGATTTCACCTTGAGCTTAGGCTGTGCAGTGGTTAGAGCGGTTGCCTTGCAGCAAGAAGGTCCCGGGTTCGCTTCCCGGCCTGGGATCTTTCTGCATGGAGTTTGCATGTTCTCCCTGTGCATGAGTGGGTTCTCTCCGGGTACTCTGGCTTCCTCCCACAGTCCAAAAACATGACTGTTAGGTTAACTGGTCTGTCCAAATTGTCCTTAGGTGTGTGTGTGTGCATGATTGTTTGCCCTGTGTGTCTCTGTGTTGCCCTGAGATGGACTGGCTCTCTGTCCAGGGAGTACCCCGCCTGATTGCCCGTTGACCGCTGGAGGTGCCCCCCCCCCCCCCCCAGGGTCCATCCATCCATTTTCTGAGGAAAATGGATGGATGGACCCTGAGCTTGCTTGTAGAAGCACGAAGAAACAAATTAGCAGTCTTTCTTTCTCTTGCAGGGTTTCTTTAAACGATCCGTGCAGAATAACAAACACTACACATGCTCAGAGCAGCAAAGCTGCCCGATGAACCTTTCCCAGAGGAAACGTTGTCCTTTCTGCCGCTTCCAGAAATGTTTGGCTGTAGGCATGAAGACAGAAGGTACAATAAACGTCCCCACTTCCTTCACTTATGTCCTGCTTCACTGCGATATACAAGGTCATTTCTGCCTGATGACTCACCTAAGAAGTAATAAACAAGTATTGTAATGGTCTGGATCATATTAGATGATTACGGGGAGGTGAATCAACATGATCTCTGAAAATGGAATGGACTTGTTATTGCTTTTAGACCTTGCATTATCTCAATGTCTGGAGTGACAAATCCATTAAAATGTACTTTGTTCTTTCATCAGCTGTAAGAGCAGATCGTATGAGAGGTGGCAGGAATAAATTTGGACCTCTCTACCGGCGGGACAGACAGATGAAACAAAACAAGGCAAACACTGATCTCTACAGGATTAAGATGGAAACTACACAAACGCTACAACCTCCAAATGATCCTCAATGGATAGGCAGTCACACAAGTGATCCCTCGTCTTCCAGTGCTGTTCAGTTATCTCGCATTATGTATCCAGCTGGAATGGGACACTTGAGTGAATCCACATCTCTGGACTGCCCAATAAACCATCACAAAGTGCTAGCTCCTCCATCCATGTCCTATCACGGAGTATACTGCCCTTTTCCTGGATACCCTCGGGACAAAGGAGAACGAGAGTTCAGCTGCAGCCCAACTGCCACACACTATCCAATGCCTTCAACCCCAAACCCTTTATTCATGCAAAGAAGCATGTCAGCATCTCCCCACTGCCCCACAACAAGCTCAGCCAGCTTCCTCTCAGGCCAGGCTCCCACTCAGACTCTAATCACGACTACTTCAACTCCCAGCTTCCTTAATCAGCTCATGGAAGGAGAGCAGGATGAGGCCCAGCTCAGTGCCAAAGTCCTGGCTAGTCTGCAGAGAGAACAGGCCAATCGAGGGAAACACGACCGCCTAAATACGTTCAGCATCATGTGCAAAATGGCTGACCAGACACTGTTTGGGCTTGTGGAGTGGGCCAGGAACAGCAGTCTATTTAAGGAGCTCAAGGTAATTCAGCATGAAGTACATTTCAGTCTTCGATTAGACTGAGAAGCAGTTTATTGTGGTTGATGATGAGCTCTTATGGGAGGTTGGCAGTCATCACCACACTGGATGTATTCTTGTTTCCCAGGTTGAAGATCAGATGGTTCTGTTGCAAAGCTGTTGGAGTGAGCTGCTGGTGCTGGATCACCTCTGCAGACAAGTCACTTACGGAAAAGACGGCTGTATTTACCTGGTCACGGGTCAACAGGTGAAGTCACAAAACACTGATTTTATGATCATGAAAAACTTTCCATCTTGTGTGCTTTGTTTGTGTTGTTTACACAAACAAAAGTGATTTTCATCACCACGTGCTTCATTCTGATGCAGATTGAGGTGTCGACCATTACTTCCCAGGCAGGAGCCACTCTAAGCAGCTTGGTATCAAGAACCCAGGACCTCGTGTCCAAAATTAAAGCACTTCATTTAGACAGGCAAGAGTTTGTTTGTCTTAAACACCTCGTTCTTTTTAACCCAGGTGAGATTTCATTCATATTTTACCGTATTTACATTTGCTATGCAACATGAAATCAGATGTAGCTTCCTAGAACCACGTTAACACCTTGCTGCCGTTTACTTTCTATGAAATCTGAACGTGCATGCTGCTTTTATAGGTTCCTAATGTGCATCTGTTTATGTGCACCTTTGTGCTTAAGATGTGAAGTCGGTGCATGGCCGAAGAAAAGTGGAGCAGACTCAGGCGACAGTAAACAGGGCGCTAATGGAGCACAGTCAGAGAAATCACCCAGGACGCTCAGACAAGTTTGGCCAACTTCTTCTCCGGCTGCCAGAAGTTCGCAGCATCAGTCTGCAGGTGGAGGACTATTTGTACCAACGCCACCTTCTTGGAGATTTACCCTGCAACTCTCTGCTTGCGGAGATGCTGCACGCCAAGCACAACTAAGAAAATCTCACGCTGGAGTGATCCAAGATTGCTGTTGCAAACTTTCTTACATCACATATTCTCACATTTAACAGCACCACTTTCTTTCCTACAAAGCAGCAAAAGCTTCATGTTTGTAACACGATGCATGCTACTCACGCCACATGTTGGAAAAGTTTCCTTCAACAGTGTTATTACAACCACAATCTATAGTAACCTTGCAGAATTCTGAAATCTAAGATCAAAGCTTTACCAAGTTTTTTTGCCATCAGTACAGCTCAGCTGTCAACAGCAGTGAAACTGGGTATTGGTGAAGTTAGTGATAAAATAAATCGGTTTGTTCGTAATTTAGACAAACGTAGTTACAAGTTTAACACCGTCTTTGTCAGCAGTAGACGGTTACCCACATATCTAAGCTAGCTCCAATTCTAAAAAGATGAACATGGTGAAAATAAAAATGATTGTGACAAACAGAGGTGTATGATTTAAAAAAAGATTTTATTTTAATGGTCCAGTTGCCAAGTTGGGGGATGAAATGAACACACACAATGTGCTGGCACATGATGTAAAACAGGAAAACCAAAACACATCAAGACAATTTCTATGAAATGGCAAAGCGACACATAATTAACAAAGTAAAAAGGGAAAAGCAGAACCAGAAACTACATAACAAATTGGACACAATTCAAACTAAATTAAATACATCTCTGGGTTATGCTTCTTGGGGAAAATTGCACAGAATCAAATTGCTGTGTTTGCTTTCACACCCTAAACACCTGAACATGAACATCCTGGCGTTTCACATGCACTCATACAAAAGCAGTCACCCAACCATCTCTCTTCTATTCATGTTTTAACATTTTTCTACAGGAATCACCTTCTAAACATCACATTTCTTGGAGGCAGTCAGTGATTTTAAAGAAGACAGCTGAGTGGTGGCAACATTTGCAGTGCTGAAGAGTAAAGAAAGAGCATATCGCTAACGCTTTCCAATTTTCTGACAGAATCGATTTGATCTTGAGAAACTGGAGTTCATTTTCTTCTTTACTAGCATGGACATAAAGAAAAAGGAAAGACAGAACATTTGGCATTTTTACATTCCCCAGTTGTACGTGGAAAGTCTCAAGAGACTGCAGGGTAGATGAGGGCTGTTACAGTCCAGAACGATCCTTCACTTAGAAACCTACTGTTTATATGCCAGGACACACAAACAGGGAACAACGCACTAGGAAGCAGGCCCGGTGACCTCGAGGATTTAGTCACCCATCAACAGTTCCCAAGACCTTCAATTATTCAAATCTTCATCTTCATTCATTCTCGTCTCAAACATACGTCTCACTAATGCTTTTAAGCAGCAGGCTAGCTTATTTGTAGCTCACAGGTCAACCCATATTTTTTACAAATCATTGTCCAAAACAAAATAAGTAATCGGCATTCAGAATATATTAAATCAGCATTTATTATCATCATTTTCACACAGAGCTGTATCCAAGTATTGATCGACATGATAAAGCCCTCCTTCATGATTTTTTTAAGACAAGCTCAGATTAACATTTCCACGAGAAAGTAATAAAGTCACATGAAATTAAATATCTCTTTCAGCTCCCGATGACTCAATCATGTTGTCTTGCAAAAACATGTCAAAAAGTATAAAAACATCCTGATGTCTACGGCTGATGGGGCTAGGGGGTGGGTGCACAACTTGTTTCTGAGCGTACAAATCTACTGGCAAATAAAGTCGCCACCATTAGTGCAGCCCCCAGTCGGACCAGCGATTATTGTCCTGACTAAGTGGTGAAAACACCCCTGAATAGAAGGTTAGTGTGTGCCCTACATTCATACAGGAGCAGCATTGCCTGCCATTACATTTCAGCTGATCAGACCTGAGCCACTCGTCTCAGCAGACCAAAGAAAAAGAACCGAGCCCTGGAAGAAGAAAAGGCATCTAAAGGAAAAGCAAGCAGAGCCAAGAGGGGGACTACTTGTGCCCCAAGTATTGATGTGTGGGCAAAGGCAGTGTGGTCGTCCCCCTCTTCTTAACCAGGAGTGCAAAAACGACCCAGGCATGGCAGGGTAAGGCAAGGCATGAGGAAGAAGGGGAAATGGGATTCTTTATCCAAAGAAGCTGTGAAGATGAATCCATCGGCTGACTGAAGGAGTGAATGACTCGTCCTGTTGACGCGTACAGCTGACTGGGGTTTTCTTGGAGACCATGTAGACCAGCCATGCTGTCTGCTGCTAGTCTCTGAAGTGCCACGCTGGCTTAACTACAGAGAAAAAGAGTCAAGTTGGGAGTGGAGTCCCTGAATAGTAGCGTCCTTAACCTCTCTAGGGGTGCGTCTTTATTTTGGGGTGCTGAGCTTTTTGGGGGTTCCTGGGCGTTTCTGCCAAAAGTGTCCAGGAATAGTGAAGGCGTCAACGCTCATGGACATGGTTTTGGACGGGATGACGGTGAACTGTTTGCGGTCAGAGCTGTACTTGTATATGGATTCTACCATTTCAGGAAAGATGACTCGGGGGCCAATGCCAGTGAGCCGTACCATCTCCTCAGTTTCAGAGTTCATGGTGTAAACTGCTCGGAATTGGCAACTGGTATCTCTGAAGAGGATGAGGAAGTGATTGGCTATGCTGTTTTCCATTTCCTGCAGAGGAACAAACAACAGAAATAAGGTGTTGTCTAAAATCATATGGTTGTGAGCCTCTTGGTTAACGTGTGAAGAACCAAATCAGCTTACCTCGACAACTTTGTTTTTCTGGGGTTCGTTGACCTTTCCAGCCAGACAGCAGCGAGTGATGGCGTTGTGGATGATGAACTTGTTGGACTTAAAGCTTGGCTCCTTGTATAGCTTTGGTCCTGCAAGACACGCGGTTTACTCGTACGGTCCACTCTTCTAAATAAAACAATGTTTCATTTGAACAATTTCTTAATTTGGAATTTATCACTGACCTGTGTATTCTGGGATGGAGGCTGGAGAGGAGATGGTGGAACCAGTTTCCCAGTCTTTTTCTCCATTCTGAGCACTTCTTCGCCCGGGTGACATTAGCCGTGCCCGAGAGGGAGAGTGTGAACGACTAGAAACAGTAAAAACACTCAAATGTTTCATTAAACTCTTTAAGACTCTCTAAACATATCAAAATGATGAAATGACAGTTTCACAGACGTTTAAAACCGCATTCTTCTATTGAATGCTTACATATTAAGTTATAATGCATCCAGCTTTCAAGCCCTTGCGTTAGGACGTTATCTGTGTGAAGGGTACCTTGGAGACTTCCTGACACTCAGACCTCCTGAGTCGTTTGCCACCGAGGACAGGTTCATGGTTGAGTGGGAGTACACCTTGTTCAGCCGCGGGCCTGCGTAAATAAGAGGAACGGAAGAAGCTCCTAAGTTAAAAACAATGCATGTTTAGGTGAAAAGACTATAAGAATGAAAAACACTAACTTACAGTCAGGTCCATAAATATTGGGACGTCGACACAATTCTAACCTTTTTGGCTCTATACACCACCACAATGGATATCAAATAAAACGAACAAGATGTGCTTTAACTGCAGACTGTCAGCTTTTATTTGAGGGTATTTACATCCAAACCAGGTGAACGGTGTAGGAATTACAACAGTTTGCATATGTGCCTCCCACTTGTTAAGGGACCAAATGTAACGGGACAGAATAAGAACCATAAATCAAACTTATACATTTCAATACTTGGCTGCAAATCCTTCACAGTCAATTACAGCCTGAAGTCTGGAACACACAGACATCACCAGACGTTGAGTTTCATCCCAGGTGATGCTCTGCCAGGCCTCTACTGCAACAGTCTTCAGTTCCTGCTTGTTCCTGGGGCGGTTTCCCTTCAGTTTTGTCTTCAGCAAGTGAAATGCATGCTCAGTCGGATTCAGGTCATGTGATTGACTTGGCCATTGCAAAACAGTCCACTTGTTTCCCTTCAAAAACTCTTTGGTTGCTTTTGCAGTATGCTTTGGGTCATTGTCCATCTGCACTGTGAAGCGCCATCCAGTGAGTTCTGAGGCATTTGGCTGAATATGAGCAGATAATGTTGCCCGAAACGCTTCAGAGTTCATCGTGCTGCTTTTGTCAGCAGTCACATCATCAATAAATACAAGAGAACCAGTTCCACTGGCAGCCATGCATGCCCACACCATGACACTTCCAGCACCATGCTTCACTGATGAGGTGGTATGCTTAGGATCATGAGCAGTTCCTTTCCATCTCCATACTCTTCTCTTCCCATCACTCTGGTACAAGTTGGTCTTGGTCTCATCTGCCCGTAGGATGTTGTTCCAGAACTGTGAAGGCTTTTTTAGATGTTGTTTGGCAAACTCTAATCTGGCCTTCCTGTTTTTGGGGCTCACCAGTGGTTTACATCTTGTGGTGAACCCTCTGTATTCACACTGGTGGAGTCTTTAGATTGTCGACTTTGACACAGATACACCTACGTCCTGGAGAGTGGTCTTGATCTGGCCAACTGTTGTGAAGGGTGTTTTCTTCACCAGGGAAAGGATTCTTCGGTCATCCACCACAGTTGTTTTCCATGGTCTTCTGGGTCTTTTGGTGTTGCTGAGCTCACCGGTGCGTTCCTTCTTTTTGAGAGCGTTCCAAACTGTTGTTTTGGCCACGCCTAATGTTTTTGCTGTCTCTCTGATAGGTTTCTTTTGTTTTTTCAGCCTAATGATGGCTTGCTTCACTGATAGTGACAGCTCTTTGGATCTCATCTTGACAGTTGACAGCAACAGATTCCAAATGCAAATAGAACACTTGAAATCAACTCTGGACCTTTTATCTGCTCATTGTAATTGGGATAATGAGGGAATAACACACACCTGGCCATGGAACAGCTGAGAAGCCAATTGTCCCATTACATTTGGACCCTTAACAAGTGGGAGGCATATATGCAAACTGTTGTTGTTCCCAGGGGCAGAGTTAGGCCCGGCTACTTGGGCTGAAGACCCGGATGTTTCATGAAAAGCCCCGGATCTAAATCACGGAAGTAACATGCAGTACCAAAGTCCAACAGAGAGGGAGCAACTGGCAGTAGTTTGTATACAGCCTGCCTGAGCCTCCACCACTGAAGAAGAAGCCCTTCAGCAGCTGGCTTCTTCTACACTCTGCCTGAAACGCATGAGTGAAGATGGACATAAGGACGTTTTTAGACCAAAAGTACAACGACAGAACCCCAGCTTTGATGAGCCTGGTGTTGACTCAGGTTTGTGAGTCTTATTTGAAAATATTTGTGGTGCTGCTGGTTTGCCTAAAGTTAGCTTATCAGGTAAAGTTGTTGGAGAGAGAAAGGGAATATTTACTATCATCTCACACTAAACACTAACAGGAACAATACTCTGCCCTGAAAATGCTTAATATGTAGCTTCAGATTAAAAATTATTTGGTACAAGACATATGATGTTGACTAGTGAGTGTCACGTGTGTGTGCGCGCGTGTGAGTGTTAAGCCCCGGATCTTATTCAGTCCTAAATCCGCCCCTGGTTGTTCCTAGACAGTTCACCTGATTTGGATGTAAATACCCTCAAATAAAAACTGACAGTCTGCAGTTAAAGCACATCTTGTTCATTTAATTTGATATCCATTGTGGTGGTTTATAGAGCCAAAAACTTTAGCATTGTGTCGATGTCCCAATATTTATGGACCTGACTGTAGATCAAATTAAGTCCCACCCTAAATGCCCCTATGTTCCATTTCTTTTGTTGTTTTTCTCCTTAAATGTAATTATTTTATGTGTAAAAGGAAAGCAAACTGAGTCAATATTTTTAGGTGACAGCTGCGTTTTTCTTCTCTTTATATAATTTAAATTTGTTTTTAAAAATGGACAGCGTGCATGTCTAGAATGTAAATGAAGGCGTTTCAAATAAAAATGTGTCTGTAAATAAATGGTTCTAAATGGCCAACATATTTACCCAGAAAGCCCTTGGCAGGGCTGTTGGATAAGACCGAGTCATCTCTGAACGCAGTCTTGGGTCGTTGCTTCTTAACTCCACGGACTGTAGTGGGTTTCTGCTTCAACACTTTGTCCAAGTCCTCCATAAGCTTCAGCTGCTGTCGCCGCTCATACTCCTGCCTGGTGAAGTCCCCTCTGCGCTGGGGAGTCCCTTCTGCTGGGGAGGTGCCTGGTGCTGGGGGAGTGACTGGAGTTTGAGGAGAATCTTCACCCCAGCCTTTGATGATCATCCACTGTGGTTTGCTAAGTACACACAGAAATGTGTGTTAAACTTTGAAATGAAAATTAAATAATGTGGCTCTTACACCTTTGCATTAATTTCATACCAGTGGTAAATTCGTTGATTAAATGTTTTCAGGTTTTTTTCCCTTGATAAATGAATTTCCATGGACTAAAGCGAATGGAAAACAAAAGCACACACCAATAAAGACTAAAGTAGGACGAATATTGACAGACATTTTCGTTGACAAAACAAAAATCGGTAACACTTTAGGAACACAAATTAACCATTAATTAGCTGCCAGTTAATATGTATATTAGTGGACTACTAAGTCTGAACTAGTCATTACGAAGCACTTATTAACAGCTTATTACTAATGTCGTAATTCTAACATGAACAGGCCATAAATTAGGAGTTTTATCATAATAAGCCATTCATAATGGTTTGTTAACTGAAAGTAAATGGTTTGTTGCTGATTAACACACATACTAATTAGATCAAATCAATATGTGGCTTTTAAAGAAGTAATTGAAGGGGAACATATTCTTGCCTTTAAATGGTTAATTAATACTAAACTACTAGTAATTAGGTATGAAAAAAATCAGGCTTTAGAATGGGGAACGGATTCTTGCTTACAAGTGGTTAATTGATTGTTGTTAAGGCTCTATTAACATGTGGAGTTTGGTGTTTATGTACATAATACCAGAACATAATATTTTTGGTTATTAATGCACAATAACTATTCCCCTTGAATTACTTCTTTAAAAGCCACATATTGATTTGAGCTGATTAGTATGTGTGTTAATCAGCAACAAACCATTTACTTTCAGTTAACAAACCATTATGAATGGCTTATTATGACACAACTCCTACTTTATGGCCTGTTAATGTTAGAATTACGACATTAGTAATAAGCTGTTAATAAGTGCTTCGTAATTACTAGTTCAGACTTAGTAGTCCACTAATATGCATATTAACTGGCAGCTAATTAATGGTTAATTTGTGTTCCCTAAACTAAAGTGTTACCTATTAATCCAATCAGAAAATGGAAAAGATGGAGGAACAAAAAAATAAACTAATCAGCAAATGGAAAAGGCGGGACTAAGAGAAAAGAACCAATCGGAGCTGGCTGCTGTTTGAACAAGCTGCCGCTAACCAGACATTATACTGATGTTTACGCCAGTAAAAGTTTTGTCTAAAGGGAGAAAATGTCCGCGGCTGGGAGGAAAAGCAGTAGATGTGAAAAGTATCTGCTTGATGAGTACACATCCGGAGTTTTCCCCTGGTGTTAAAAGTGTTAGCAGCTAGCTGGAGCTCAGCGAACCCAACAGAACCATAGAGCATCAAAATAAGAGTCAAACTAAAACAAACTGGATGACTAAATTGTGACTAATATTAAAAAGAGTTTTAGTCTAAAGACTAAAACTAAATCTAAATTAAAAAATCTTGTCAAAACAACCTTGATCCATCCCAAACAACACTGATAAATCCTCGGAAAGATGTTTATAGTCGTCTCTTAACCCTGTTGTGAATGCAAATGTGTAAATAAAGAACCCTCACTTTGATTCTTTTTCCTTCTCTTGCTCAAGTCTGCGCTTCTTCATCTCTTCTGCTCTCTTCTGCTGTTTCTCAAGCAAAGCTGCTCTTCGTTGGGCCATCTCATCCTCTGGCCGATGTCGGTCATCCTACCAATTAAAACACACAAATACAGTCACAAAATATTTACTTTGGACTTTTCCTTAATAAAACTCAGAATAAGTAACCAACCTTGAAAAAGAACCCAACTCCTGCTTTAGATTCTGACTCTGTTCTGTCATTCACTGAATCAGAGAAGGTATCCGGCACTTGATCCTCCTCTTCCTCCTCATCTTCTCTTTGCAAGGAAGACAATGAGATTTCTATCAAACTACTGCGTTTGCCATTCAGCATCCCCGCAGGGGCTTCGCTGTCGAAGGAGCACTCGGATGGAGCACCAGAGCTGCAGCCTCCACTGGCAAGCCCATCCTTCTTTAAAGGACTATGGGAGGGCCCCACCTCAAGGTCCATGCTAAATATACTTTGTCCATCATTCGAGCCTACTTCAGACTGGGCATCATCTGAAGGAAGTGGTGGTGGGGTAGGAGTTTGCAATGGTGTCGGTGAAGGTGTGGGAACAGGAGTTGGTCCAGATGAGCGCAGCTCTTCCAGGCTAGTAGTGTCTCCGATAGAAAAAGAGGATGAAGTCTGGACTTGGGATTGCCATGGATTTACCCTGCGAAGATGGGGGATACGGTCCACATTTTGAGGCGCGGTGAGAACCCTCGACAAGCTTGGGACCTTCATGTCCATTTGACGACTGTGTTTTGGGCTTTTAGGAGGTACAGACTGTGCTCTCCTGTTGACATGAGGAGATTTTGGAGGAGTGGGATGCTTTGCCATCTTGTGTGATGGCGATGGAGAGGGGGAAGTTGAGTTGAAACCCCGGGTGGGTTCTCGTGACAGGCGTGCTGGAGGTGGAGCAGGGGTGGATGTTTTGGTGCTGGCAGGAATAACCCAGGATTTGTTGCTGGAAGCAGCAGGTTTGTTCTTGATAAGTTGATTCTGCTGTTCAGTAAGCTTCTGCATGTCACTTTGCAGAGAGGACAGAGCTGCAGTTAACTTGGACACAGCGTTGTTATAGTCTCCTACCATTTTGTCAGGAGCTACCGTTTTCTCAGCAGGTGTCCCAGAGCTTTTCTCTCCTGGTGCATCTGCCTCGTCTTTGGTCTGACTAAACCTATGTCCTCCATTCACATCACCGTCACCCTCCACAGAGGGGCGCCGTTTAGCTTGTTCGCTCCGCTCATCTTCCTCCATCCGAGCAAGCCTTTCCTCCAAAGTCAAGTGTGAGAAATCTTCAGTAGATGATGTTCTGAGTGGACCATCTCCTTTCTCCTCAGCATCATCCTCGTTCTGCTCTTTTTTTAACTGTAGAAAGGCACTCTTCCCAAGTCTTTGGCGGTGCTTTGCAAAAATGGCCTCAATGCGTTTCTTCTGAGCTTCTATGGCTTTGCGTTTCTCCTCAAGCCGAGCTCCAAGCTCAGACATCTCATTGTTGAGTTGTGGGTTCTTGCTTGGGCTTTCTTCAGACTTCTGTGCCCATGTGGTCAACTGAGGAGAAGACGGGTTGCTAGTTTTAGGAGAATCCAAATTCTGTTTCTTTTTGCGTTCTGCAAAGCTGGTCATCTTCACCCCACTGTCATTCACCTCCTGACTATGGCCTCGAGCAGCGTTTGCATGTGCAGCTGGTGTGTTTGGAGTGGACTGGGCTTTCGGTAGTTCTTCTAAGGCATCTGAATCCACACTGCCATCTCTCAAGACTGAGTCGTCATCCCTTGAACATCCGGAGGTGTTTCTGCTACGACTTAGCTCCCTGAACTCTCCTTTAGACTGGTACATGATTCCTGAGTGTGTTGGAGCAGAACAGCTGACGGGTGCCAAGTTGCCGTCATACCTAGAACTAGCAGGGTCATCAGGTGAGTGGAGGTAGAAGCCATCAGGAGCACCGTCAGGGTGCAAACGTGGCTCCATCTTGCCTTCATTGTGAATAATTTGAAGAGCCTCCTCTATGGTAGGCAGCTCTCCCGTCTCACTGGTTCCAAGATCATTCTCTTCTTCTAGCCTGGGAATACTGGGAGACTGTGTGGCCCAAGATGCTCTCTGTGAAACATTGGGTCCAGGAGATTTACCAAGCACATGGCTGAGGTCTTCAGGAGGAGTATAGGACACATGAGCCATGTTTTGTCTTGCTGGATTGAGTTGATCTGAGCTCACAGAGCGGGTTATGACAGGGTTTCCCATCACTACGTCCACATCACTATCCAGGCCAAAGGGAATGCTGAAGGATACTGCCGACAAGGGTCGACTAAAACGAAAATAAAACAAGTTTAAGTACAAGAAAATGTGTTCATTCGACGTGGTTTATCCACCGAGTGTGTTGTCCAACCTGAGTGGTTTCTTGCTCCATGTCTTTCCAACTCCTTCTATATGAGACATTGAGGTAGACTGAGTCAAAGATCCTGAGTGCAATGGGACACACAGACATGTAAAGGCATGCAGACCACAGACAGGGGTGCACAAAACAACCCATCAAAACAGGAATGGCAGGAAAAATATGAAACACTTCAAAAACAGAAAAACACAACATGACTAAAAACAACTAATAAAGGGAAAAAGTGAATCAGACTAACAAATATTTCAGTTAGTTGGTTTGATGTTGATGAAGTTGTCTTTACCTGAAGCAGGGGAGGAAATGGGGAGGAAGGGCTTCTTGAATATAGAAGGGGAAGTACTGTAAGGTGAATAAATATAACTTTAGTTTAAATAACTGCAACCAACAATGTGCCAGACAACATCTGCTGCAAATGAGCGTAGAAAGGCTGTGTACCTGCTACCACTTGGTGTCACTGGTGTGGAGCCATCTGTGGGAGAAGAGAACCAATATTAGGACCATGACATACTTCAACTGAAAGGGAATCTTGCACACTACTCACAAGGAACCACAATGCAGGGACTCTGACTCTTACCTAAAGTGTCTATTGGTTGAACAAATTCTGGTCGTTGAACTTCAAACCACCAAAGCAGCTCTGACAGGAAGCTCAGCAAATTCAGCTAAATTGACACACACTAAATCAGACACTGGTCTTTTTGTAGTTTATTTTTAAATAATGCACCAGTCAGCCTGGTGTTGCGGAAGCACCTGAAGCTCCGGAGGTGTGTATAACATGTCCTCGAGTGTTAAGCTGCAGCAGCCCTTCAGACAGCTGTCACAAAACTCATGGATAACTTGCAGGTTGTGGAGTCTTTCTGCTGCAGACATGGAGTCCTTCATGTGAACGTCTTAAAGAGAGGGGTTAAAAAGTGTTAGATGTCCACTTCTGTCCCAAGAAGCTATTTTATAGCACATGTTGGAGTTTTATTTCATACCTTCAAGCCTTAGTAGCCCCGGGCAATAATAATGTATGACTGCAGCAACAGCACAACCACTGGAAAGATCCTGGACGTCTTTCACTGATGGAAAGATGGGCTTCACTTTGGACTGAAGCTTATCCTTCCTGTAGCGGAGCTTTCAAATAAACAGGAAAACCAAATTTAGGACGTCCAGCTGTCTAAAGACAGACTATTCTGTTAATCTAAGGTAAAGACAATTGTCAAGCTTTTGAAAAGCAAGTGAGTTTTCTAAACACATATGCAGATAATTACATTTTAATCTGAATGTGACAAACAGGAGAACTAAAGGGTCATGTTAAAGTCAGGCAAAAGGAGTGAGCGTGAGGGAGAGAGTGGCAAAAACGAGAAGCGGAGCAAAAGCATCAATAGAAAGAGTGGGAAAAAGAAAATGTTCAGGTCAAATTTTAACGTACAAGCAAACAGGCCTTTTCCGGCTGGGATCCGTTCACTAAAAGCCCCCCCCCGTTAATCCCTAAAGGATACAGCTTTACCCCACACCAGAGAAACCAGTCATACATGGCAAGTTTCTGCAACCGTGAGTCATGCACCACTCATGTTTCCACAACAATGCCTGCAACACTCCCTTACTTTAACACTGTTAGCTCAAGTGTCATTCAACGCAAAGATTCAATGCACAATCAGTCTAAAACCAGGACACAGGGAAACCAAACGTGAAGAAATAAACAGACCTGGTTATAGTTTGGCTGACAGATTTGATGAAGACATTGGAGGGATGGAGGGATAGGGAGAGGAGGCAGAGGAAAGGAGGGAACTTACAGGAACAAGTTTCCAATACCAGCGAGTAGGACACTGAGAGCAGAGGAGGAAATAATAAGCAGAAAGGAGAAAGGAAAGGAGAACAGGAGCACAAGGACAGGAATTAGGCCAACAGTAGAAGAACAAGACAAACTGGAGAGGGCTGTGATGACAATACTCTCTTCAGACTGAAAGAAGAGTTGAGTCGGCTGCCTCGTAAGAGGGAGCTCAGGGAGCTAACTCGTAGCAGGAACGCCTCCATGACTTGTACTGGCTAGCCTGTAGAGTAAGAGGCCACCACACGCTGAAACAATCAAATTAAAATTAAAAAGCTACTGACTAGATATGATGTTCTTCATAATGAGAATATTTTCCCCATTTTTATCCTATATAACAACAGAGATCTGCAGGGGTCAAACATGGAGCCATTCTATACCAAACTCCACTCAGCAAGATGGAGAAAATCAAACAGTGTTGACGCGAGGATTTTACTTTCAAGAGATTCATTCATTTTTGAAGAAATAAATCCAAATACCCATTTAACCTGGTGTCTTAAAAAATGCTGTTTCATTTATTGATTCTTATTCTGCCCTCCTTCCTTATTGCTGATACTCATCACACACATTCTTTGATGAGTTTGTTACTCCCCAACAGGCTTCCACCTGACCTAGAATAATATCAGTTGCACCAGAAGCCGCTGGTTTTGAAATGAATGCTGCCACCACAACTTGCAAGAATTTTCCAGTCACACCCTTTACTGTTTGTGTCTGTGGATAACGCTTGTTTTTGCACCATAACCTTATTTCACTAATATAATAAAGGCTTTAAAGTTACAGCGTGTGGTTTCCTGGAACTAGGGGGCAGCACATACATACATTTCAGGGTAGTTTTACACCACATTGCCATGAGTGTCCCCAATTTAAAAATAAATTACGGTAAATGTTGTTACCTGTGGAGCAGAAAGCACGCGACCTCGATGGGACTCCTCAGACTTTGATGGTCCTTCAGTTAATTCCATCAAGAGAACGCAATGCCGATGCTAGTTTCTGGACCTGCTCGCGGTCCTGCGCCTGCTGATGACGTCAAACTACAGCAATACCACTTGGTCAAAATATACGGCATCTCTTTTTTGATTCTGTTCTTTCACATAGATTTTAGAAAGAGTTTAGCAGTTTGGTTATTAAATGAAAGGTTTCTACAGTCTAAATGTCTTCTTTAAAACTGTAATTTTTTTATTAAAACACCATATTGACTTTGTTTTATAAAGAACGTGAAACGACAAAACCAGCTTCAGACTGTCCTAGAAAGTACAACATTTCTTATATGTAAACATTTTTAAATGTATTTACATAATTAGCAGCCCTTTCTGTTTGTATAAATGTGGAATTATTCTGTATAATTCGTTTGTTTATATGTAAATACATTTATTTAAATGTGGTATACTTATTAGTTCCAAATAGTTCTTTAGATTTTTGCCCTGTTTCATCAAAATCAGAGTCACTCAGGGTCTCCGTTTATCATCTGATAGTATTTACATTTCCTCTGGTAATTTATACATTTCCCCCAACATTTTTTTTACTACAGGATTTCAACCGTGAGAAGGACTACAATCCGGACCAATCAAGATCTTCTGTGTCAACGTGCCAAAAACCTCTAACGTGGGAATATGACTTCCACAAGTCACACATCCAGCCAATCATCTAGTGTGATGTCGTCAGCAGGCGCAGGACCCCAAACTGGCTTAAGTAGGAGGAAACATGGCGTCTAAAATGGCGTACTCCAGAGCCTTAAACCCGCCCCTCATGTATTTTAGACCTAATTTTTAATGGTTATATGTTACAAAGTCATCAATAATTTTCAGCAACTGGACATCATTTAATTCCTTTTCCAACAAGGTTTTGAAGGATATTTCCAGAGATTAACTGTAAAAACTACACATTGTCACTTTAAATGAATACAGTACTCACCAAGGGCTCAACGGGTTGGGGTTCTGGAACGTCCTGCGATGACTCATTGTGCACACCTTCGGTACGATCCCTCAGCTTCTGGTTTAACTGGGGAAATGGTAGGAAGCAAAGTCAAAGGGTGTTGGATTGTGTTCACATAATTAGGTTCATATTAAGAACTTATGAAAGAGTGTGAGTTTGTGAGGCTAAACTTGATGCTAGGTGTTGTGTGCAGCAGGGGGCTGATGACATACCTAACAATGAGTCATTATTAACAAAATACAACAACGATGTTAACATTTAATGGGTTTTGTTTTACTGAACGGTTCCTTACCACATCAACCCAGTGAAGTAGCGCATCCTCCCACCTGGCGGCTTCACCCAGTAGCTCAGCAGAATCACGTGTCTTGACTGCAGTCACCGTCTCCATGACTCCGATGGTCATCAGGGCATCCATCAGCGCCAGATGAGCACTCTGGACAAATCACAAAGGGAGAAAGAAGAGGAACTGAGGACAAGAGATCCGTTTGCATTTACATAATGCTGTTCAACACTTTTACACTCTTTAAGGCAGAGCAGATAATATTTCTGTCTGTTGCAGCTGTGCCATTGTTCACCAGCTGTATCCTGTAGAGGTCACTAGAAGCCAGCTGTGAGTCAGCAACAGCTCTGATAAGAGTCTCCAACCAGCCAGCAGACACCATTAGATGTGGGTGAACTTTGGACCCGCGTTCGTACACTCATTAAATCATTAAATAGGCAGCAGATCTGTAATATGATAGCACACGTATATCTTAGGACCGTCATTCCTCAGCTACTTTCCCTTTAACATCTGCAAAGCCACATCCTTTCCTTTTCGCACAGTAATGCCTTCTAAATGACTCATATGTAAAACACACACACACAGGATAAAATGAGAACACAACAAAAAGAACCTTCACTAAGCAGTGTCTGATGAATGAGATACTTTCAGTTTGTTATGAATCCCTCATTGTTTGTAGATTTTCCAAGTCAAATTAAAAAGAATATGAAAATAATTAATCAAGTCTAGAAGGCCCTTACAAAGCTTGTTCAATCAACCAGAGCATGTTAATAATATGTTCCATTATCATCAGCAGCTCAGGTAAACAAAGACAATAATTACTTAAAGCCGCTATGAACAACTTGTGATGAACCGTTTGTGTTGTGAAGCCAAAGGCTCAGTATAATTTATCATAGTTTAAACAACGTTCATCAATTTTAAATTGTAGCACAATCACACGCTGGTGGGGATGAGCTACGATGTAGCCACAGCCTCACTGGGGCGCACTGACCGAGGCAAGGCCTGCCGATCACTGGCCACCACCAGCAGGCAATGCGGGTAAGTGTCTTGCCCAAGGACACAACAGCAGCATTCTCTGGTCGGAGCCGGGATCAAACCTGCAACCTTCCGATAAATGGACAACCCGCTCTACCTCCTGAGCTACTGTTCCCGATTATTCAGACAAAGACTTTAGTGCCCAAACAAAATATCCCAATGCCTGGCTCCGAACATACAGCACATAGTTCCAGACAGCAGCTGGTGGTAGTTGAGCTGTGTGCATGACTTCTGCATGTGTGACTGCCTACTGAACCCTGTTATAAAGTGCTGAGTAGGACAGCCAGAGCAGGCGAGGCCAGCGACGGCTTGTCAAATACTTTTGGGGCAAGCTCTGTGGATGTGCCACAGTCCTCCAGTGCAAACGGAGTGGCCCTAACTGTTCTGGACACCAAACACTGTTGACAAAATAAAGGTAGCTGCTTGCCTCTGAGACATGGTTTGACATACATCCTATACATGAACTATACATGTAATATGATCTTTACAATTATACAGCATTGATACAAAATACAAGCTACAAATTTGATAATCACCTGCTACTAGAAAGGCTGAGAGACTGGGTAGGCCTATCAGAAACTGCTCTGGAGTGGTTCTCCTCTTACCTAAGCGTTCTTTTTCTGTGGCTGCCTCCAAGTGACGGTCCTCCACCACCTCCCTCACCCATGGTGTCCCACAAGGTTCTGTGCTGGGGCCTCTGCTTTTCCTCCTCTATCTGCTTCCTCTGAAGCACATCCTGAGCCCCTTTAAAGGAATCTCCTACCATCTTTATGCAGATGACATCCAACTGTACATCTCCTTTAAGCCCCAGGAGATGTCTAAGCTGCAGATGTTACACACCTGCTTAGACTCCATTAAAACCTGGATGGCTGGGAGCTTTCTTCAGCTGAATGAAGATAAGACTGAGATCCTCATCTGTGCCCCAGACAAGCTGGTTCCCAAAGTCAGAGACTCTTGGTCAGCTTGCTTCTCACACCAAACCCTCTGTTAGGAATCTTGGCGTGACCTTTGACCCAGCTCTCACCCTGGATTCTCATGTCAGTTCTCTTGTTCGCTCTTCATGATTTTACTGTATAAATTGTTGGTTGTTATAATAAAACATTTTTGTTAAATATATCATGAGAGAAACAGTGATATGAGAAGTGAAACAAACTTCTAGGAATTACAGAAAGTTTCATTTTTACAAAACTAGACATTAAAGTTGTTACTTTGAGTCACGTTGTAAACAAGATAAATAGAAATTCTGTTATTCAATTATAATTACCTTGTTTTTCTCTGTCAATAAAATATCCCAGATATTGTGTTTCAACAGTACAGAATAGAAATTATTTAAAACTGCAACACGTTTTCTATTTGCTTAGGGTTGGAGATTCAGCAACAGTCCAACTAGAATACAACAGTGAAAATGTATGTCACACACCTAATCTAGGTGAGAATCACTTTCCTGTTATAATTTTGTAGAATTATTACTCAGAGGAAAGATAATTCAAGATTTAAAACTGCATAATGAAAGAGGGAGGAGTCACCACAAGTCGATTTCCTACTGCAGGCCCAGGGGAGCTCGCTAAGCTAAATCACAAGACTCCCTAATGAGAGTACAGAGAGGAGCCACTCGAACACACAGCTCAGAGCCTGCCAGATCACCATAACAACCAGCCAGCTGACCCACAATGCATCACAGTACAAGCCCAACTGCAGAACTGATCTGTGCTCCTGGTTTGGTGCTGGTTCTCAGCTCAGAAGCATCCAAACACCTCTAAAATACCTCAGAGAGGTAAAAATAAATAAGTAGATAAATAAAACACACAAACTAGCCTCTGAAGTTATAAAACCCTCACAACCTTTTGGCGAAGCCGCTTACATTCATCACCACAGTTAACAAAATAAAGGCATCTTGTTGATCATTGCACAAGATTACGAGGGTAAAATCTGATTATGGCTGAGATATAACTTAACCCCATCCCCCTACCCAGCCTTGTGCCTGCTGATGGGGACACAAACAGGGGATCAAGCAGGCCTGGGGCCCAGCAAGGGATTTTGAAAAGGAGGTTAATACTCATTCGTACATGAACTGGATGTTTAGACAAGGAAAAACACATGCACTAGATTTACATTAAATTTGTTCAACATGCACCTCCATAAGTTATCATGACGATGGTCAGTGTTGCCAGTGGTCCCTCACTTCCATTGGATTTAAACTCTTGACCAAGAACCCACAAACAAAACCTCTAAAGAGACAACTGGAAGAAGGATAGCTGCATTACATAGTCACAGTGGAAAACATTTAATCCAGTCTCTAGTACGGTCAATACCCCTTACCCAGCATGTTCAAGGTATGACTTTGTTGAACCCGCCCCGTTTGAGCAGAGCTGATCAGTAGAGCTGGCATGGCAAGCCAGACGACTAGACGGCAAAGCTGTTAAGCAATAAGTCATTCCTGTGATTTCAAAACATTAAGATGCTATTTTAGGAGGAGTAACAGGTCTGTTTGGATAAAACAGAACTGTAAATAAAAAGTACACAATGTGGAGGGCTGTTTTCTTCATTGTAACCCCTCATCTGAGCAAAAGTGTTTTGATTTCATTTGATGCGTGTTGGGTACGTGGTGAGTCACGGCATCACTGGCATGATGTCAACCAATCATGAATGATGATGTTAAATCTGCATTCTAGATTATGTCTAATCTTAAAAGATCTTTATCCTCAATCAGAGGAGTGATGGGGGGGGGGGGGGGGGGGGGAATACTGCAAGAAAGCCAGAAATCAGTAGGGCTCAGACTCAACAACCTCCTGACAACAAATAGAACAGCATCACCCTCTCTTTTACAAGGAAAATGTTTCCAAAATATTAAAAAATAAATAAATAATAAAACTGCAGCAATTTCTCTTTATTAAGAAGTGGCTAAAAACATTAACACCATTTTATGTAGAACGAAAGTAATGTTTCACTTTAGTTATTAGCCATTTTTAGACGGAATTTATTTTAGGAAAATTCTATAAACAGTCCAAACTGATACCAACATGTTTAACATGAGGCATCCGGACCATAACAGAGGGATTTTTCACCTGTCAGTAAAAGGCATAACCTTAATATTCATGCATAATAAATGTATCCTCTAATCTTCACTGAATCTGAAGCTTTAGTAAACAGCAGCCTTGTGGCAGACTGCAGCTGCAAAGCTGTTTTACTGGCCAGGACCCACACTGATGCTCCATCCTTGTTATACTGCAGCATGACCCACTTTCCTTCTCTGCCACAGGAGCCGCAACACCAGCCACTGTCAGGCAAAATCCAAAAGCTGCCAATGGAAGGATCAAGCAATACAAACCACAACCACTGAGTTTAAATACCCCCCCAAAAAAAGACGTGTCTGGAAACAAATAACTACCAAGACAACTATATTAGAAAAATATTCACTTACAAAATAATTGATCAAACAAGACAAATACCAGTGTAACCATTGAATTTTCTGGATTCCTTTAGTTTAAAATATTTGATGATTGAATATTTTTGATGTGAAACAAAGAGAACCTACAAAACATTTGAGTTTGCTGCAAGTTTCAGAACATTTGATAGGTAATAATAGACAATAGCCAAGTGTCACTCCATGATTTCCCTTGTGTAATTACAGATGTGCCAGTATGATGGAGAAAAGGTGTAGAAAATATACGAAGTGCTGAGTGTGTAAATAAATCAGTAAGAAACAGATCTTAATCTGGTGGTTAGAACAGCTTCACACCAACTTTGTTATCTCGCCCAGAGCAGATAGAAGGGGAATGTGGCGTGCAGATTCTAACTAAATATTAGCGTTAATCTTCATTGTATTGATGTTAAAATAACAAACAAAGGCAAAAATCTAAAAGAAGGTGCTAAAAGGTATGAGGAAAAACGAGATAAATAAAGGAAAATCCCTTTTAGAAGAACTGTTTTTATCACTTTCTTCCTGAATGGTTTCAGCTAAGCAGACACCTTATCTGTCCACGTTTCAAGCTTGTGATTTATCATCACAACACTGTTCCAGCAGGATGGTACTGACTGCAGAGGCGAGCACACAACTGCAGTGGAGCCAAAAGTGTTCACCTGACAACATTCTCAACAAATCCCAGAGGAGGCCAGAGCTTTTCAACGAGGTCTGACTCTCGATAGCCTGGGCACTGCAGTTTTTATTATTTGTGTAAAGAGAGTATTTACAGCAGTCTTTTGGTTGGAGTAACATGACATGAAAGGGAAAAGAAGCATTTCACATACTGTTAGAGATAAAGTGGCCCTGCCTAATCAGATCGACGTTATTCCACGTTTGAAGGCAAGATTAGTATTCTACATTCTCAAGGTGTCTAAACTGAGTTATGTTGCAAGAAAACAGATCTACAGAGTTCTTTTGCCCTGAGCTAAGAGGACAAACCTGTTTCTCTTGATTTAACTCACTGAGCCAGCTTGGTCCATTCACTGGTAACAGCGTCTACAGTTTCACCAGAACTGTTTAGCTATTGTCTTGATCCAGACCGTCTATTGTAAATAGACTGACTCCCTCTCACACCCCAAAAGTAAAGTAGTCATGCCCTTGTCCTCGCAGCTGGAACCACTCATCCTCTCAGATCAGATGGGGAAGTGTTGGGGGTTGGGATACGGGCTGAATGACTAGGGGTCTTTTTGATGTCCTTTAATTCTTCGAATCAAAGCGTAAACAAGCACTGCTATTTATGCAGACTCTTGGATATAAGCGAATCTGGTTGCACTGGATAAACGTCAAATAAAAAACCATTTTGCTATGGTGGCAAGAACTAGCTACTTAGTTTATGCTAGTTTTTAAAATAAAAGGTCAGAAATCCTGACTTTAAAGGTAGAAAGCAGCTGGGTGTTGGATGAGATGTGGCTGTGAAGAGGAGTGTACACATATCTAGGCAAACATATGCTTAAATATGTGCTTATGACGAGAGATGATGAGCCTTTGTTTGCATTGCTTTCATCTTGTAAAAAAAAAAAAGTCACACAGCCCATGTTGTTTAAAAATGCAAAACAATGTTGGACAGAATGATTTGGTCTTTGTTTCAGACATACCATTTTGATGGGTTTATGTCGGAGGTCTGCATCGGTCACTGTAGCCTCCTGGTCTTTGGCGGCTACACCCCTCTGAGCAAGGAGCTGCAGCAAGGCGCCATTGTCTTTGGGCTGCGCCTCGGCTCCCGCACCTCCAAGTAAAATGCTGTAGATGCGGCAATATAGCTCTGAAGACTGAAGAAGACGTGTGACTGGAGGTTTAAGATGCTCCTGTTCATACTGGTCACAGTAGAAGGGGTCCTGTAGCTCTGCAGGGACATTTTCTATTAAAATGAAAGAAAAAAACAGACAAACTAATTAGCTTTATAAACTATTAGAATAAACGTTAACAAATAAAAACCCCAATGAAAAATGAATGCATGAACACAACAAAAAACTCGTAAAAAGATTAAATTTGTTGGACAACAGCTTTCCTCGATGTTAGGGCTGCAGGAACTGTTGAGGAAGAGTCTGAAGTTAGGATCCAGACTGACTGCAGAACACATTCAGGTATATTCAACACACTCTGGAGTCTCAAGCTGACTTTCATAAGGTCTTAATGAAACGTCTGGAACACATTTAAGGTAAAAACACCACAGAAACACATTTTTATAGTTGGAACCAAACGGTGAATGATAACATTTGTGTTTATAAGTGCTTGTTTTTGTTACTGAAACATCTCATGAACTACTGGGTGGATTATAACGAAACTTCCAGAAGATGCTAGTACACAAACATCTACAATTGCTAAACATCTGGATCCAAGATGTCCAACTGGCCATTAAAATAAACAAAAATGAATATGACTCAAGTCAACTTCACAAAAGCTGTAGCAGCACTTTGACTTCATGGCTAAACCACCTGTATGTCTGTTGAGAAAACATCTCCTGGACTATTGGGCAAACTATTGATAATCCCAGAAAATACTCTTCAAATATGCATCTACAACGGATATCAGGCCAGTTCAAGGTAGCGATAACTCCGTTTTTAAAATGTGATGTCATCACACTCCTCCTTGAACCGTCACCTTATCGTGGTGGAGGAGTTTGAGTGCCCTAATGATCCTAGGAGCTATGTTGTCTGGGGCACTTTGTGCCCCTGGTAGGGTCTCCCATGACAAATTGGTCTTAGGTGAAGGGTGAGACAAAGAACGGTTCGAAGGATCTTTCATGGCGGTGAAAACGAAGAGTCGGAGTACCCGGCCCGGAGGGTTACCGGGGTCCCACCCTGGAGCCAGGCCTGGGGTTGGGGCCCGTGAGCGAGCGCCTGGTGGCCGGGCTTTCGCCCATGGGGCCCGGCCGGGCCCAGCCCGAACCGGATACATGGGCTCGTCCAACTGTGGACCCACCACCCGCAGGAGGAACATGAAGGGTCCGGTGCAATGTGAATCGGGTGGCAGACCAAGGCGGGAGCCTTGGCGGTCCAATCCCCGGACAAGAAAACTAGTTTTTGGGACATGGAACGTCACCTCGCTGGCGGGGAAGGAGCCGGAGCTTGTGGCAGAGGTTGAGCGGTACCGGCTAGATATAGTCGGACTCACCTCGACACATTGCATTGGCTCTGGAACCCGAGACCTGGAGAGGGGTTGGACACTCTACTTTGCTGGAGTTGCTCCGGGTGAGAGGCGGAGGGCTGGGGTTGGCTTTTTGTTAGCCCCGAGACTCTCTGCCTGTGTGTTGGGGTTTACCCCGGGGGACAAGAGGGTAGCTTCCTTGCGCCTTCGGGTCGGGGAACGGGTCCTGACTGTTGTTTGTGCTTATGGGCCAAATATCAGTTCAGAGTACCCACCCTTTTTGGAGTCCCTGGGACGAGTGCTAGATAGTGCTCCATCAGGGGACTCCATTGTCCTGCTGGGGGACTTCAATGCTCACGTGGGCAATGACAGCTTGACCTGGAGGGGTGTGATTGGGAGGAACGGCCCACCTGATCAGAACTCGAGCGGTGTTTTGTTATTGGACTTCTGTGCAAGCCGCAGTTTGGCCATAACGAACACCATGTTCGAACATAAGGATGCCCACCGGTACACTTGGTACCAGGGCAGCCTAGGTCACAGGTCGATGATAGATTTTGTAGTCGTATCATCTGACCTGCGGCCGTATGTTTTGGACACCCGAGTGAAGAGAGGGGCGGAGCTGTCAACTGATCACCACCTGGTGGTGAGTTGGATCAGATGGCAAGGGAACATGCCGCGTAGACCTGGCAGACCCAAACGCATAGTGAGGGTCTGCTGGGAACGCCTGGCAGAAGAACCTGTCAAGACGGTCTTCAACTCCCACCTCCGGCAGAGCTTTGACCACGTCCCGAGAGCAGTGGGGGACATTGAGTCCGAGTGGGCCTTGTTCCACTCTGCGATTGTCGAGGCGGCTGTTGCTAGCTGTGGTCGTAAGGTGGCCGGTGCCAGTCGTGGTGGCAACCCCCGTACCCGCTGGTGGACACCAGAGGTTCGGGGAGCCGTCAGGCTGAAGAAGGAGGCCTACAGGGCGTGGCTGGTCTGTGGGTCTCCGGAGGCAGCAGACAGGTACCGGATAGCCAAGCGGGGTGCAGCAGTGGCAGTTGCCGAGGCAAAATCTCGGGCGTGGGAGGAGTTTGGTGAGGCCATGGAGAAAGACTATCGATCGGCTCCAAAGAGGTTCTGGCAAACTGTCCGGCGCCTCAGGAGAGGAAGGCAGCAACTCGCTCACACTGTTTACAGTGGGGATGGGGAGCTGCTGACGTCAACTGAGGCTATAGTCGGACGGTGGAAGGAATACTTTGAGGAGCTCCTCAATCCCACCAATGCGCATTCCGAGGAGGAACCAGAGCTGGGAGGCCTGGGGATGGACTGTCCGATCTCGGGGGCAGAAGTTGCTGAGGTAGTCAAACAACTACACAGCGGCGGAGCCCCGGGGGCGGATGAGGTTCGTCCTGGGTATCTCAAGGCTATGGATGTTGTAGGGCTGTCATGGTTGACACGTCTCTACAACATTGCGTGGTCATCGGGGGCAGTTCCTAGGGAGTGGCAGACCGGGGTGGTGGTCCCCATCTTTAAGAAGGGTGACCTGAGGGTGTGTTCCAACTATAGGGGGATCACACTCCTCAGCCTCCCTGGAAAGGTCTACGCCAAGGTACTGGAGAGGAGGGTCCGATCGATAGTTGAATCTCAGATAGAGGAGGAGCAATGTGGTTTTCGTCCTGGCCGTGGAACTGTGGACCAGCTCTATACCCTTGCAAGGGTGATGGAGGGGGCATGGGAGTTTGCCCAACCAATCCACATGTGCTTTGTGGATTTGGAGAAGGCTTATGACCGTGTCCCCAGGGGCACCCTGTGGGGGACGCTCCAGGAGTATGGGGTGGGTGGCTTTCTGTTAAGGGCCATTCAGTCCCTTTACCAGAGGAGCGTGAGTTTGGTCCGCATAGCCGGTAGTAAGTCGGACCTGTTCCCAGTGAGGGTTGGACTCCGCCAGGGCTGCCCTTTGTCACCGGTTCTGTTCATCACTTTTATGGACAGAATTTCTAGACGCAGCCGTGGTGTGGAGTGTGTCGAGTTTGGTGGCAGGAGAATCTCGTCTCTGCTTTTTGCGGATGATGTGGTCCTCCTAGCTTCATCCAGCTCTGACCTTCAGCTCTTGCTGGGTAGGTTCGCGGCCGAATGTGAAGCGGCTGGGATGAGGATCAGCACCTCCAAATCTGAGACCATGGTTCTCGACCGGAAAAGGGTGGCTTGCCACCTCCGGGTCGGGGGAGAGGTCCTACCTCAAGTGGAGGAGTTTAAGTATCTCGGGGTCTTGTTCACGAGTGAGGGTAGGAGGGATCGGGAGATCGACAGGTGGATTGGTTCAGCGTCTGCAGTGATGCGGACGCTGAGCCGATCTGTCGTGGGGAAGAGGGAGCTGAGCCAGAAAGCCAGGCTCTCGATTTACCGGTCGATCTACGTCCCAATCCTCACCTATGGTCATGAGCTTTGGGTAATGACCGAAAGAACGAGATCGCGGATACAAGCGGCCGAAATGAGTTTCCTCCGTAGGGTGGCCGGGCTCAGCCTTAGAGATAGGGTGAGGAGCTCGGACATTCGGGAGGGACTCGGAGTAGAACCGCTGCTCCTCCGGATTGAAAGGAGCCAGTTGAGGTGGTTTGGGCATCTGGTCAGGATGCCTCCTGGACGCCTCCCCGGGGAGGTGTTTCGGGCATGTCCTGCCGGCAGAAGGCCCCCGGGTCGACCCAGGACACGTTGGAGAAGTTACATCTCCAATCTGGTCCGGGAACGCCTTGGGGTCCTGCCGGAGGAGCTGGTGGACAAGGCCGGGGAGAGGACGGCCTGGAGCTCCCTAGTTGGGATGCTGCCCCCGCGACCCGGACCCGGATAAGCGGAGGAAGACGACGACGACGACGACGACGACGATGTCATCACATGTGCTCTGCTATACTTTTGCAATATTGCAATGTTTGACAAAAACAGTTATAACTCCATAAACTGTCAACATAACATTCAAGAAAAACCAGACTTTGATATGAACATGGATTTACTTATTTCTGTCACTTTCTAATCAAAAAATGTGTGTTGCAACTCCAGTTTTCACTTTTCTTCCACAATATCCGTAACTCTTCAGACCGTTCGTACTCAACAACCAGTGTTGGGGAGAATACTTTGTAAATGTATTTAGTTACAGAATACTGAATACTTGCTTTAAAATATATTCTGTAATGTATTCCGTTACTTTGTTTAATCTTGGTACTGTATTCAGAATACTTAGAATACTTTCCCATAAAAACAGCATTTAGGTCTCTTAAATGTCACAATATGTGTTGATAGCTACTCCCGCAGGAAAGCAGGGCATATTAATGCTAAATGCCATGTACCGACTGAGAAAAAGAATTAAACGATTAAATTATTTCTGTTACTTTATCAAACAGTCAATAGAAAATATACTTCAGTTTCTGTGAGAAAGTGCTTGAACATTGCACAGCATTACTGTCTGTAAGAAAATGTAATCTAGACAAAACGCTTCTAAATAATTGGGACTGGCCAATCACAGCGCATTTATTTAGAAAAAACTATGTATTATTTTTATTTTTATGTGTTTTGTAGTTTTTCCAAGATGGAATGGCGGACTGCCTCGTTGACAGACATCCAAAGCAGTCAAATCACTGCGCTCTATATGTTTGATGGGCCAATCATAGCACTCTGTCAGCCAAATGGGCGGGATGTACCTGCAAGTTAGCAAACCAAGATGGCTGCTGCTCCGTAGTGGTTCAATCACAGCGTTATTTTGGTTTGGTGGGCCAATCACAGCACTCTGTTGGTGGA